TCGGGGTAAAACTCACTGGGTTTTGCCGTCTCCCTGATGAGCCCAAGGCAGGGCGAAACCAGTTGCCATGCGTATGCAGATAGGCTGGTCTTGAGGAATGAGTGCACCTCAAGACGTCGCACGGACTTCGAAAGTCTATGTACGTGACAAGTGGTATCAGAGCCTAGTTAGGCTGAAGAGCCTAATTCCTTTCTCAGTACGGCATAGGTTGAGTATGGGCCAACCCTTTGCCTGAATGAGAGGCGGTCCTTGGTGTGCAAATCAGGCGGCCCAGACGTAGATACACACGTATTGCGCCGTTGTGGGGAACCTCGACAGGCTGAAGATGCAGCGGCCGAGAATGTCGTTCAACCGAGGAACTATCGCTAGCGAGAGCGTAGGGTGAAGGTCAATTGAGGTACAAACGCTAGGAGTAGCGTAGGCTGAAGGTCGTCTGAGGTACTAGCGCAACAGAAGCAAAGAGTGAAGGTTGATGTTGAGGGGCGAAGCAGTATGTGCGCGGGGCACAGCAGGCTAGCGCGAGAGACGAGACCGGAGCCTGTCCATCAGAGGATGGTATCGTATGCGGACTCCCACAATCGGTTCGAGTGTTGCAATACATGCCGCGGAGAGCAGCATTCTTCACCAGCACGAGGACGTGCTGCATTACGAGTGGTGGAAAATGTCACGACCCGAAATGTCGTGACCGTGTTGATCATCTGAAGAACGCTGCCATTTGGTCGTCTTGCCACGAGAGGGGTAAAGGGGGCGACATTAGCATTAAGGCGTTGTCTGCATGTGCATCATTTCTGATCGAGTCAGGATGTGGCTATGAAGGGGATCGTTGCAAGAGAAGTCACAACTAGTCTGAGGCTATTGCCGTCTCCCAGATGAGCCCAAGGCAGGGCGAAACCAGTTGGCATGCGTATGCAGAGAGGGTGGTCTTGAGGAATGAGTGCACCTCAAGACGTCGCACGGACTTCGGAAGTCTATGTCCGTGACAGTATCCGCGGGTTCATGGGTACCCACGAGTTTTTGTCATAACTAATTTACAATAAATTAGTTGTTTAGAATATAAAATATACCGAGAAAATTAATTATATGGGTGTGGAAGGGTAGCCGGGTACCCATGGGGCGGGTTTACCTAAACCCAAACCAACCAACCCGGTGAATAGTGAACAAGTTTAAACTCAAACCCGGCCCAAAACCTGTCAACACGAATTTTACCTGCGTTGACAGGATTGGGTCGGGTGGGTACCCGTGGGTTTGGGTTTTATTGTCATCCCTAGCCAAGAGCATGATTCTCCCTTTGCAAGACTGGTTAATTATCAATCTCAGACAATAGGAAACTGCAATTGAGTTTGACATTATCATCTGGCAGTTATGGAAGCAAAGGAACGAGGAGATGATGGAAGGTAAAGTGTTCTCAAAGAATGTATTAATTGCAAGGATTCAAGCATGGTTTAACATTGTTGGGCAGGCTCAAAAGAATGTCCAGTTGACCAAAAATGCTAATCCAACTATTGGTCAAAACATGATTGTTGGTTAGGATCCATCTAGAGAAGGTTGGATCCAACTGCAATCCAATGAATCAGTCCTCACTAATTCTGGGAAGGCTGTAGCAGGAGAGCTTTTCAGAGACCACTTGGGCAAATGCAAAGGTGCCTATGTTTGTAACGTTGGTTCTTGTTCTATCACTGCTGTAGAATTAAAAGGATCTTGGAAGGACTCAAAATCGCTTGGAAAGAATGATATCGCAAGATCCAGCTCAACCATGACTCCATGACTGTGATTGAGATCATTAAACAATGTCACAAAGAGGATCATCGACATGGTAGTTTGGCAAAACAGTTTAATCTTTTTCTGAATCTTGATTGTGAAGTTTGTATCTCCCATGTTTTTAGTGAAGCCAATTTTGCGGCTGATTACTTGGCTTGCAAGGCTCATGACTTTGATTTTGGCACACATCCATTCAATGTGTGCGATAGAGACCTTGTATTATGGCTTCGCCATGATGTTGTGGGAACCTCCCACGTTCGGTTTTCTAGCAATGTGATTTAGACGCAATGCATCTATCTTTCTTAAAAAAAAAATAGAATTCCTCGTCACCAACATGACAACCACGAATTAGGGGTGGGCATTCGGTCGGTTCGGTTTCGACCGAACCAAAATTAAGAATATCGGGTCCCCGAATTCTCCCAAACCTCAAACTGAATTCGAACCAAATTATAGTTCGGTTCTGTCGGTTTAAACTGAATTATAATTCGGTTCGGTTTTTCACAAAACCGAATTTGTGAGGCTACTTGTATCTTCTCCCTTTTAAATTATTTTTCACCCCTAATATAAACAATAAATATGAAATTATATGTATCATCAATGAGTCATAAAAAAATTTCAAATATTTAAGTCAAAAAACAACTACAAACATAAAAATCCACCATTTCGAGCTTGCAATTAAAGTATTTCGGTTTTTCGGTCAGAAATTCAGTTCGGTTGAAAGAACCCTTATTTCCGAAATATCCATATTTTCCTTCGAATTCTGAACCGAATAACATTATTTCGATTTCACTTCGGTTTGGGTTTGCCGAACCGGTTGCCCACTCCTACCATGAACAAATGTGGAAAAATCTCAAAATAAAAATGTTTAAAATTTTTTTCCAAAATACACACATTTTATGAAAATTTCCCAAAATACACATGTTTGATCATCACTGCGACCGTCAACAGCAGTTAATTCATTCACCGCGGTAGACGAAAGCAGTGAATGCATCACCGCGGTTGTCGGCCGCAGTAAATGCTTGACCTAACACTGAAACTTCAAACGAACGTAACTTTGCGCTCGTTTATCCGATTGTAGCGATTTTTTTTTATTCCGCATAAATTTTCAAGATCTTTCAATCCGCAAGCAGCCTTCATCCAAAAAAAATTGTTGTTTGCTACTCCGAACGAACAATTTTCGATTTTTCCAAACTTTGGAAGGCCATTACTTTTTGTTCCTCAATCCGAACGTCATAAAGTTTTTTTTTATTGCGCGTAAATTTTTAAAAAATATAAATTTTACTAGGAAATAATTTGAAAAAAAGGAATAGACTTTGCGTTTACGTTTCACAAATCCACATACATTCCAAAATTATGGTTATGATAAAAGTTGTAGTCCTTCAAAATTTATGCGAAATCAAAAAAAGTTTCACGACATTCCAATTGCGGAACACAAAGTTGTGGTCTTCCAAAGTTTGTCGAAATCGAAAAATTGCTCGTTCGGGGTAGCAAACGACATTTTTTTGGGATGAAGGCTTGTTGAAGATTGAAAGATCTTGAAAAGTTATGTGGAATAAAAACAAATCGCTACAATTAGATAACCGAACACAACGTTCGTTTGAAATTTCAATGTTAGATCAAGCATTTACCGCCCCGTCAACCGCGATGAATCGATGATTCATTCACCGTTTTTCGTCTGTTGCGATGAATGCATTCACTGCCGTTGATGATCGCAGTGATGCCCAAACATATGTATTTTGAAAAATTTTCATAAAACATGTGTATTTTGAAAATATTTTTTAAAAACATGTGTATTTTGGGATTGGCAAAATACACTTGTGTAGCCAAAACTTTGACGGTTGTGACAATAATAGCCACTTTTGGAGAAATACCAATAATAGCCAGAAATTTGAAAGTTTGATGACAATAATAGCCATTTCCGTTACATAGTTTGACGGCGTCAGTAACACCGTTAGTCAAACTAACGAAACGATGATCTGGCTGCCAACTCATCTGACACATCATTGACAACTCACCAACACTTGCCACATATACGTGACACGTCAGATTTTATTTAAAAATATTTAATTAATTTATTAAAAAAATCATTTATAAACAAAAAAAACCAAAAACTTGCCCCGCCTCCCCTCACCGTCGACCACAATTTTCCATCTAAAGTCAGATGCAAAACCATCTCCACTCCACCCCACCGTTCTTTTTCCGAGATTGATCTAGCGAAACATCTCTCGGTGGATTTCGTAGCCCAAAACCTCTGATTGCAGCCCCTCGCATCTCCAATTGTAGCCCTCACATCTCATCCAAACACCTCGCAATCACATCGGAATCCAGACTCCTCCAACGGTACGACTCTCAACTCCTCCCAACTTCCTCCTCTTCAACAGTACGACCTCCGCGATGGCTACAAGATCAAGCTCAGAGAGCTCACTTCCATCGCTGTCCGGATCCGAATCGAGAACCAAAATCCGTCGCCGCCACTACGGCGAGGCGAGAGGAAGCAGGTTGTTGCTTCGGTTGAAATAAAACAACAGAAAACTAGGATTTCGGTGGAGGAGAACCAATTGGAGAAGGTGGAGCAAGTTCTTAAAGCAAGTTCTTGGGCGATAATTTCCAGATCTGGGCGATTTTCAAAGCTACCGCCGACAATCGACGGTGAGCAGTTGCGCCTGGGGAAGATTGAGGGAGATCGGGAGATATATTGATGTTATACGTATTGGAATGGTTGCAGGGGATCGTGGAGAGGAGAATGATTTTTGTGGCGCTGAGGATGAGAAAGAGAGGGTCGGCGATGGTGGGTGAACGAGAAAGGAAAAAAAAATTCTCTCGGCGATGGTGGGTGAACGAGAAAGAGAGGGTCGGCGTTTAGTGGCGGAGGGAGGTGAATTTGTGGGTGGGTAGGTGGGAGGAAAAGGCAGATTGTCTTTTCCATTTTCTTCAATTTTTTTTCAAATTAAATCCATGTGGAAAATACGTACCAAACAAAAATTGTCAGATAGGACGATCCGTTAGTCCAGTCAGCACGATAACTCACACCGTCAAAGAATTGGACGGAAGTGGCTATTTTTGGTATTTCGCTGAAAGTGGCTATATTTGGCCAAACCGTCAAAGTTTTGGCTACACAAGTGTATTTTGCCTTTGGGATTTCTCCAAAGTGCGGATTTGCAAAATATCTTCGTCGACACCAAAACCCTAAACCCCTGTCCCTCTGCCTATATAAATCGCGGCTAAAACTCCTCTTCTTCCCCATCCTCTTATCTCACTCACCGGTGGACCCGATCTGAAAGGTAATAGCTATAGCTTCAGCTTGATTCCCTTTTCCGTGTTCTTAGTTTCTCGCCCGGTCTAGTTCTGTTATTTTTATCACTCGTTTTTAGTAGTACTAATGCACATATCGAAGGCTTGCAAGAGCATCCTGTCGTTGAACTGTGAGCTCAAAGCTTGTGCAATATCAATCAAACTATCTGTCAATCTCAAATCCCCACGACTAGATTCCGTCTTTCTGCTCGAGGGTTGTTTGTTACTCATGGATTGAGGAACAGATTTGTTTAACTTGATTGCTTAATAGATGTGTAGATGTTAGTATGCGAGTCCTGGTTTCGGTCTTGGATAAAAGCCAATTTGCAGAGCAAGGGCGTCGATAATGGCGTCACTTGCATTGAAGGTTGGCCATAAAAACAAGCGATTCTCCGTGCCTATCAAAAAATTTCCCATTTTGACTACGGCCTCGAACAAATTGCGACATTACCTTAAATGGCTTAATAAATAGTTAAGGGTGTTAGATTAGATCGCCAATTTGCAGAGCAAGAGCGTCGACAATGGCGCAACTTGCATTGAAGGTTCGCAAGAATGAGTTTAGCGATTCTCCGTGCCTGTCAAATCTCTCTATTTTGAATACGGCCTCGAACAAATCGCAACATCCTCCTTGGTAGTCTAAAGTTCTGCGTTTTTTCCTCACTTTACCTGTTGTCTGCTTTTTTGTTGTATGAATTGTGTGTAATTGATTCGATTCCTTTGATTTTCAGGACTTGAGTAAATTGGGTTCAACAAGATGTCGAAGAACCCGAAGGTCTTCTTTGACATAGTGATAGGTAAGATGAAAGCAGGCAGGGTAGTGATGGAGCTATTTGCTGATACAGTCCCCAAAACAGCAGAGAATTTCCGAGCACTTTGTACTGGGGAGAATGGCATTGGGAAAGCTGGGAAGCCACTCCATTACAAGGGCTCTTCTTTCCACCGTATAATCCCCAAATTCATGTGTCAGGGTGGAGACTTCACCAGAGGAAATGGGACTGGTGGGGAGTCCATCTATGGGGAGAAGTTTTCAGATGAGAATTTCAAGCTGAAGCACACTGGACCTGGCATCCTGTCCATGGCGAATGCAGGGTCGAACACCAACGGCTCCCAGTTCTTCATTTGCACCGATAAAACCTCGTGGCTCGATGGTAAGCACGTGGTGTTTGGCCAAGTCGTGGATGGCTATAGTGTTGTGCAGGAGATGGAGAAGGTTGGGTCCTATAGTGGCACCACTTCCAAAATTGTTGTTATTGAGGATTGTGGTGAGGTTGCTGGGTGTGAGTGAGGCTATTCAGAGTGTTGTTGAGCAGCACAAGGGCTCAGATGTTGACAGTTGTGCTTATTTTGGTTGCATCATTGTTTTTCTTTATGTGATCTCTGGATCAAAACATGAATGGTGTAAGCATCTTACTGTAAATTCTTTACTTGTGATACTCTTTTGAAACTTCATTTATACGTTCCCGTAACTCTTGTGCACGTTGACTATTATGAGTAGCTATATGGTTTGATCCCTATTTTACTGCTTTTCGCCTCGAGGTTGACCTTAGCAACCTTTGCTTGCTTACTCCCCGAGTCAAAACTTAATGTAAAACGCAAGCAAACTAGATCTGGGTTCTTCCCACTCATGTACAAGTATGATGTATGCTGCTTTTCTCATAATACTTGAGCCTACGTGTACGATACAGATTGAGTAATTTAAAAGCAACAGTAGTGCTACCTTCTTCCCCTAATCCTCCTGATTTCATTCCAAAGCGGCGAACTGTATCTGTATCTCAATAAGCTAGCTGTGTCAATTCCTTTTTATCTCGCTGATCACATGAAACCTAGTTACCGTGTTCAATAGACTGCAAGACTATGAAATCCTACTCCACGTGTAGCACAAATTGTTGTTGTAATTAAGAGAATCAACACAAAAGATTAACAACATAGCATGACTAATGCGATTGGTCGGTTGTTGTCAGTAATTCAGATTTTGTTAAATAACTCTTATGATTCCTGACCCCGTTTGGACTCAAACTGTAAGAAATCCGGATCTAGGCGTCTTTCGCCTAGGGTTATGAGATTGGGATCAATGGAGAATTGGGAATTTGGAGAGAATAAGAGATTGAGAATAGAAAAAAGAAAAGGGAATTTGGGAAGGAAGGAAGAAGAAAAAAATCGGTCTCTCCAGTAGGGGGTGGCCGCGAGATTGATGAAGAAAGGGGGAAGGGTATCCAGGGTCCCTGTTTCTGCTGCTGGAACCGCTCTCCCTGTCAGAGTCGCCGCCATCGATCCGGGTGTAGTATCAGGTCCTGTGCTTTTGCGACAACTTTTTGGAAACGCTCGACTCTTCCCCTCGAGCTTGTCAGCTCCTCCTCCTTACGCGACGTGAGCCTGAAGCCCACTCGCAAGTAACCGGGTTCAAACACCTTCACCTTTGCTGATAACTCCAGCCTCATACCTAAAAGTTATAACCAACTAGAGTTTCCTCCAACATTCCCTTACACATGTTCCAAAGCCCCACAAACTCAGAGCAATACTTTGCCACGGCCCACGGTGTCAGACTGTCTGAGCTAAACCAGCTAGTGCAACATCCATCCCTCAAAAGTGGGAAGTCAATGGTCGGGGGCCTAACTCTAAAAACCAGTTCACCCTCATAGAGTTATCACCGCCATACTTGCCAATGTCGTTGTGGCACTAGAGGTCTCCTTCTCTTACGGTACATCCTCGGTCTTTCCTCGGTTTACTGTCGAAGCCTGTAACACTCTAGTTCATCTTGACACTAGTTTTTATCAAAATGCCCTTGATAAACCGTGAATCAAAGTAAGAACTTAAAGAACTTGGGCAAAAATAGCGAAAAGTTTTCACAAAAATTCTCAATAAATATTGAAAGTAAACAATCATTACTTAAAATAAAGCCTTAACACTCGGGCAAGACTCAAACCATAAAAATCTTGATCTCCTCTTCTACTTAGGTAAAACATAATAACTAAAAACCTACCCGGCTGCTTTCTCCCTCGGATCTGATCCCTAATATCTCCAGCAACGCTCGTACTGTCCTCCTCTAGTTGACTGCTCTTTAGCTGGTAGCTCTCCATCTGGTTGCTCCCTCCCTCGAATTTTGGGATATTTTTAGAGTTCTCGTGAAACTGGGAACTTTTGTGAAGTTTGTGGCTCAGCTTCCATCAATGATTAATGATGATGCGGGCTAGGAATTGCTTGGCTTGAAGTAAAAGTAACAAGTTTCGAGGATCCTATCACGAATGGGATCAATCAGTACAAGAAAGATGGAGATTTCTGGGACGAGTTGCCCACAATGGAAATGAAGCAACTAGCTTACCTTGATCCTTTGGGTAAATTCTGGCGATGTTTCTTCTTGCATGAACAGACAAGCTTTGAGGGAAAAGTTTTTTCAACGGGGAGGACATTCGAGTGAAGCTGGGACTCAGTCGTCAGAGTCCAAACCTTGTTCAAGAGCGTAAAGGGATTGGTTGAGGTCCAATGAGCTGGGACTTGGGAGGACCTCAAACAAGCAACCTAAAGATCGTATGGGACCTGTCTCGTTTACTTGCATTGAAAGTCATCTTACTTATTATGGTTCCTTCTTTAATTCAGTATCTTAGTTAGACTTGTTTTCTTTATTGGTAGTATAATGTGTTTAGAGTAGTATCATTCTATTTAAAGGCCTAATCCGAGTTGTAGGAATCATATTTTATCAATTGAAATTCAAACCTAGTTCATGGAGCTTTGCTCGTTGACTTAATCCAACTACCACAATAAATCTCGGACTAGAGCCCAAGTATAAACTCTAGTAGGGTGCAGCATAGGGTAAGCGTTTTAAAATGTCAACCAGGTCCGATCCATGTACCCCGACTTCAATCGTTTAAAAATTTATTTAGCAATCGATCTTTAGTGAAAACTAAGGTCTACAATTTAAAACAAGCAAGAAGGTAAATGGTTTTAGAATCTATATGAGAAAGCTTCACCCGGGTATTTCTCCCCCTAGCTATATACCAAGATTGACCGAATAGAATGCCAATGTGTAGGAATGTGCTCATACACTATGAGGAGAGCGCAACTAGTAAAGAAACTTCGCTCTCTTGGGTGATAGGCCAAGGCACAACATTTGAAGCTAGCAAACTATCTCTCTTGGCCGCTCAACCAAGGGTTGCTAAGGCTACTCCCTCAGAACTTAATCCAGACGACAAGATAACAACCAGATCGAAGTGTTAAATTGAAACTTGAGGCTACCATAAATTTCCCTAGGTGGGTGACACAAATGGCCAGAAACCCAACTTCTCGAAGTCTTCTAGCAAACAATGGTGTTTCTCTCCACCTAGGTTAAATTGGCATGGTAATGAGAAATGAAGAACACATCTCAAGAATTCTGAAAATACCTCAAATTTTGCATTAAACACAAACCCACACACATAGCATTCAATCCATACAATCTATCACATATCTAAAGCTAGGGTTTACAATACCCAAGTGAAAAAGAGTACTACTCCATAGCTAAACTAGAGATTACAACAAAGAGAAGAAGATAAACCATGGTGTGGTGTGTGACTTTCTTCCTTGTTGTATAAATCACCCTTGGAAGGTGTCAATCCCCAATCTTCAAGCTCGGAGCAAACCCTAGAGCACCTATTCTCTCTTGGTTTGTCGTTTCTCTCTCTAAAATCTGAGGTAGAAGAAGGTAGTCTCTCCCTAGACTCTCCCTCAAAGTTTCGGCTCCATCCTCCTTTTATACCCACATCGCACGCACTTCACGTTCTCAGATCAAGGTCATGATATGAAAGCTCAGACCGTGATCTTGGACAAAGTGCGTCATTTCATTTAAGGTCTACACGATCTGGCGATCGGTGATGTTGTTTAGGTCCGCGAGGCACAAAAACTCTTCTGGTTTCCATGTTCTTCACGGTATGGGCCTCCTTATCACGATCAACCTGACTGTGATCATTCTTTATCTACCATGATCCTCACCTTTTTGCTCCCTTCGATCCTTTTTCATCCTCTTTTGTTCAACTTTCGCTCCTAAGGTCGATCTCACCTTCTAAAACCTAAAACATGCTAAAAACATGCACAACCTAGCGTGGAATCGAACCTCAAGCGATGCAAACGCTCAAACACCTAAAAACATGGGGGTGAAAACATGTAAATAGACCCAAATCACTCGTGAAAATTGCTCTTGTGCTTGCTCCAAGATGGCTACGTTCCGATATCTGGAAGAGAGGTTGTTGGAAAGTTTACAGGGATGGAAGCAGAAGGTGCTCTCGTGGGCGGATAAGGAGATGCTAATTAAATCAATTGTGTTTTCTTTACCACTACATGTTATGTATTGCTTTAACCTTCCTCTATCCCCCTATCGCATTCTGGAAAAACACATGGCCAGATTTTGGTGGAGGTGGAAGAGGGTCGTCCACAGATTCGTTGGGTCTCCTGGCGATATATGTGTAAAAGTAAACATATTCGGAATGAGCTCTAGGGCTCTATTCATCATTCTAGTTGGATCGCGTATACGCACCCACATCCTCCTCCTTGTACCCCTCTTGCAATTTCGGAGGGTAGTAACCCTAAGGTGGCAGAGGTGATGGTTCTCGCGCGGGGGAGGGGGGGGGGAGGAATGTTTCCGCACATAGTTTTTGCCATCACAGCACTCCTCTTATCCCGTGTGGGGATAGAAGATACATTGGTATGAAATGATACGTGTAATGGGGTGTTCATTGTCAAGTCCGCATATCACCTTGCGGTTTTGGTGGATTGATAGGTTGGGGACTGGCTACCCACAGTAAGTTGGATTCATAGAGAAAGTTGGATTCAAATATGGGATCTCAACATTCCGCTTAAATTAAAACTGTTCATGTGGCAAATTTTCCATTGTATTCTTCCTACCACTGAATCTCTGATTGAGAAAAGGGTCCAGATTGCCTCCCTGCCTGGTGTGTTGGGAAGAATCTGAAAGGATGGAGCACCTCTTTTGGGAGTGCCCAATTGCTACAGCCCTCTGGACTCACTCGGGTTTGGAGCATCTAGGACAAGGGTTGTCGCATCAGACATTCTCTCTTTTTCTATAAAAAAAAATGCTAGCTTAGGATGACCTAGCCGACCCAGATTATGGATTTGGTTGCGCTCTTATGGCATATTTGGAAGTCTAGAAACTGGTTCGTCTTCAAGGGAATTTTTTTTCAAATTCCTCATCTGATGTGCCAGTATCATCCGCAACTCCATGAATGGGTGTATTTGCCGGATGATAGGTTGGCTCGGAATCAAGTGCCTTTGCAGCAGAATCTGCAGGTGGAAGATTTGTCCTTTGTTATATGTATGTGGGATAGTGCAGTCTGTGTTGACTCACATTCAACAGATGATCTTAAAGGATAAAGGAGGCTCTGTTGTCTTAGCCAGAGGGGTTTTTTTTTAGAATATTGTTGACCCTCTTGCGGTGGAGAATATTGTCCTCCGCAAAACTATTCAGTGGTGTCAGGATCTTGGCCTTTCTCAAGTTCGATTAGAAGGTGATGGAAAGGTGCTCATTGACAAGATTAATGCAAAGGACGCGAGAGATAGCCATGTTGGGACTATTATTGAGGAAATTCAGCATTTGATGGCTCTGAATAGTAGTTTTCATGTTCGATTTGTAGGTCGGATTAGCAATAAGGTAGCCCATCTTGTGGCTCGGAAGGCGCTTTCTTTGCCTCCGACGTCGTGTTGATTGTATGATTTTCGTTCCTGGGTTGGTTCCCGGATGTAATCTATAATCTCTATATCAATCAATATGATTATCTTTTGTTAAACTTTTTTTTATGAATTTCAAAACATTTCCTTGTGATAGATATTAATATGGTGCTAACTCTTACCAAACCATCTCATAATTGTTATGAGATAGTTTTGGAATTAAAAAGATACTGTGATTACTACTCCTTGAAACATGACGTCCTATATCCTTCCTCTCTCTCCAAATCCTAAAACATATTCTTCCTCTCTCTCACTCATTCTTTCATCTTGATCTTCCTCCCCATCCATGGTTTTGCGGACCACCATGCACCGATCAACAATTCGTCGACCAACCCTCCGACGATGAATCCTCTGCCTCTGCCGCTTCCTCATGCCGCCATCTATACAGGCGGTTGTTGTCTTTTGTACTTCCTCCCCCAATCCAAATATGGTGAGTACCCTTATATATAGCACCCCTAAACTTTCAAATTAATTAACAACTATGGCCATGACATATTCATTCATCGTCAATTGTATTTTTCATTATTGGGTCAACTGAACATTGTTTACTGACGGTAATAAAGACAAATAAAAAAGGGCAAAGAAACTCCATTCGGACATATGATAAAATTGTAACAATACAGTGAAAAGGGCAAAGAAACAAACCACCACATCGATTAAAATATTTATATTTCTTGTAAAAAAACTTCGATTGAAATAATCCATTAGACACATTTAACACGTTTTGGGAATTAGACATTATTTTCTTGAATATCTTTTGCGGCCGGCCAGCGTCAAGCACCACTTCCCGACGGTGCATTTGGCGGAGAACTTTGATGGTAACTCTTGTTCATGGTCGGGGCTGGGGGTGCAGTAATCCTTCCACCGTAATCTTCTCGTGAGTTGCTAAATCGTGGCGCCGAAATCCACCGGGCCTCGCTACAGGTACCGACAATAGCTAGGATAATGATCACCAGATAGAGCATGACGACTAGGACAAAACGATAACGTCGAAGCTAGTCCATTTCCTTCTTCAACCAAAGAGCTACCTTTGCTGGCTTGTTAAATAGGTTATTGCTATTAAGATGTAATATTAGCTTGTTTTATAGGACAGAAAGAGGGCGACGTACAACTGTACGAACAAGAAAAATATTATTAGTTAGGTGCGAAATTGGTAGTTGTTGTTCATAATACAAATGAAGGGAGAAGTTGGACTAGGTGTTGGAGCAGATGAAGAAGCTCGAATCTGAACTAGATGAGCTAGTGGAGAATGAAAAAGCTTATTAGAAGCAACGTTCGCGGGCTGATTGGTTGAAGGAGAGGGATCATAACACGAATTTCTTCCACCAGAAAGCCTCAGCCTGGCGTAGGATAAACACTATAAAGAAGCTGGAAGATGAGACAAAAGCCTGACACATGGGACAAGAGAGCCTATTCGATGTCCTGACTAACTATTATAGCTCCTTTTTTCTTGCAGGTACTATTCTGATAAATGCCCTAGTCCCGGACTCGATCAAGACGGTTGTCACAGGGGCGGAGAAGGAGGAGTTCTCGAGAGCGGTCATACGCGAGGGAGTGTTTGCAGCCTTAAAGCATATGGGCACTAGGAAAGCCCCAGGAGCCGACGGCTTCTCCGCTCTTTTTTACCGAAAGTATTGGAACATCATTGGAATTGATGTGTGGCAATTGGTTCGTGATATTATTGCAGGTAGTGAGCTGGCCCAGGATATGAACCATATGCTTATTACGCTGATACCTAAGGTGAAGGAACCTTCTTCACCAAAGGATTTTCGGCCAATTAGCCTATGTAATGTCCTGTACACGTTGGTGACAAAGGTTCTGGCTAATCGAATAAAGACCAACCTGGAAAGGATAATATCTCCAGAGCAAATTGCTGTTGTTCTTGGGAGATTGATCACGGACATCATGATGGCATCATTTGAGTGTTTCCATTCAATGAAGAAGAATTCAAAGAGCAAGGTGGGTTTCCGGGAGCAAAGATAGATATGGCAAAAGCATACGACATAGTTGAGTGGCACTTCCTTGAAGGTGTGATGCGGCGTATGGGATTCACAGAGAACCGAATCTCTATTGTTATGAAGTGTGTGAGCTTTGTCACATACTCCATCCTTGTTAGCGACGATGACTGGGACATCCAAAAAAGAACTCTTTAATGAAGTTATGGATCGCCTCCGGAAGAGACCCTAGGGATGGAAGGAATGTACCCTGGATGAGTAGGAAGGAGTTGATGTGCCCGAAAGAAAAATGTGGAACATTCAGGACTTGACCGGGCAGGTTCAATACGGCAATGTTCGCTAAATAGTTGTGGAACCTATATAGAAAACCTGAATCCCTGGTGGCTCACATCTTTATAGCGAAGTATAACAGAAACTCGTCAGTCCTTGAGGCTCATGTGGGCTACCGGCCGAGTTATGTATGGAGGAGCATTATTTCTACTCAAGCGGTTCTTTGTGAAGGATTAAGATGGAGAGTTGGTAACGGTTTGTCGATAAGGATCTGGGGCGATAAGTGGGTTCCGTCTCCTCGACTCCAAAGGGCCTCCCAGTGGATTCTGTTATTCAGGAACTAATTGACGTGGAAGTGGAACTGATTGCTGGGAGTTTTTTACCACCCGAGATAGCTTAGGCAATTACCCAAATCCCATTGCTTAGCGAAGGGGAGAGGGACAAGCTAATCGAGGGGGCAGTGACACGTGCATGTACTCGGTCAAGGATGGATACGGAAGCTAGTTCGACAAGTTTCGGGAGGGCCTTGGCCTCATAAAATATTGGGAAGCCTCCATTTGGAAGAGACTATGGAAATTACAAGTCCCCCCTATAGTTTGACAGTTTGTATGGCGTTTTACAAGGCACATCCTCCCAACTGGGGATCACGTTGAATCACGTAGTATCAGATGGGGGGGATAGATGTGTATTTTGTGATTTATGGGAGACTCAGGTTCATTTTTTCAACGAGTGTGAATGGGTCAGCCGGATTTGGCGGACATCGGCTTTCATGGACTGTTTTGAGAGATGTGGAATGGGAGATTGTCTTGAGTGGTTCAACAACATAATGACGACGAAAGTTTATGCTACTATTGAGGGGTGGAGTGTACTACTTTAGTTTCTATGGAAAGAACGGAACGCCCAATTGTGGAACGATGCAAAACTACCTAAAGACACCATTGTAGCGAGGGCGAGTTTCTTCTTATCGGACTACATAGATCATCATTTGAAAGAACAAGTAGCTTCTCATGACCCAACAAGCAAGTCCCGGTCTCGACCGGAACCAGGGTGGATCTCAATCACCTCGGATTCGGCTAGTTTCCCGGATGGTGGAATCGGGCTGGGCGTGGTTGCGCGAGATAGTAATGGGAAGTTTTGGCTGGCCTCTGCAAAACGTATGACGAGTGGTTGGAGTGTAGAGATGGCAGAGGCTCTGGCTGCCGAAATGGGAGCACAAATGATACCACTACTTTGTACCACAAAACTGCTCCTTAAATGTGATAGTATGCAGATCATAAGCAAGTTCAACTGTGTTCACATGTGGATCAAACAAAGATGGGGGGTGATATGCCGCAGTAATAGACGATATTCGGAACGAATGGCTGAGGCTAGCTGGTGACACATTCCCCACGAAGCTAATGGTGCTGCTCATTTGATGACCATGACATTTACCTTGTCGGATGAGAGGATGAGATGGCTTGATAAACCGCCAGATTTTTTGATTGATCAATTGAAACTAGATGATGTAACAACTATGCTTTGATCAATAAGATTACAGGTTTCCATAAAAAAAAAATCAGGGTAGGGTGGGGAGCGAATCCCTCAACAACCTTCCTATGCATAACCACACTTATCATTTGTGGAAGACAAATAAATTTTTCACCAATTAATATTAATAGGCTATATATCTTTCTTTTTATGTCGTAAAAAGATTAATTGTGTTCTAAATAATGACAATCACTTTGATATATTTCGAAACAAAAAACATTTAGATATTTATTACCAGTTCAGACCAAGGTGGTGATGATAGTATATGGTTTAGTGATATAAATATATCATTGTGCATAATGATTGTATGCACCTAGCTTAGAGAGAGTAGTATTTTTTAGGTCTCAGTATTTTGAATCTTTTGAGTTCTTATCTTTTTAGAACTTCTTTGACAATCAATCTGTTTTAAACTTATATCCAAACAGTTAGGTACTAAGGGAGAGCTAGTACAAAACCTGACTAGGAAAGCCTTCCACTTATGAGTCTAGTGCTTCATTATTTTGTTGTTTATATGCTTGATTGATGTAGTCTTGATTGCATATATGTTGATTGCCAAAACTTCTAGGATAGGTGGAAGATCTGCACAAAAGTAAAGAATGGAGAGATTGTTAGGACATCTTTCACTTTCTGTACACAAGGTCCAAATGGGCTAGAACGAGTTGATTGCTCGAAATTAATATCACCTTCTATAGCTGTGTGTTGCTGTTATAGGAAAGAATCACAAAGTGGTGAAAAAGACCGTTGCAAGACTAAGATAATATAAAAAGGAGCCAAAGACAAGAGTAGAGGTTACAACATCGAGAGTGAAACAAAAGCAACAAGATCAACACTTTTTGATTAGCAAGAGTATGAGAAGTGTAGTAGTCTCATAGGTGCTTGAGTGTGGTTTTTCTTTCTATAGCTGAGTGCTTGTGACAGAGAAAGAAAAGAGATTAATTGGCTCTGTTAGTCCAGGGTTTGAATGTCAACCAAAGAGATTCCACTTGGAGGTAGAATCCAATAAGACTAAAACCCTAGGAAAATATGTTTCAAAGGGCGAGCCATCTTTGAGTCGAGACGTAAAACCATAATACAAACTCGATTAACAAAATATTAAGTGTTTTTTCTTTCTTTTATGCACTACTGTTCTGTTTTGACAAGCCAACCGGTACAGAGCTCTACATTACAGCTTCTCTGTTTGCTATAGTAAAAGAAGGCGAGAAGAAAGTTTGGAATTAGCATACTCAACTCAAGTAATTTAGGGCTAAATTGTCCTGGTTGAATCAACAAGAAACTGAGATATCTTATAAGCCCATTATACTTGTCCCAATCCTTTTCATTTGAATTTAAGTTTGATATTTTTTGGGTTTCTCTGTTTTACTACGTCGACTGCTAACAACTAGGACTCTGAGTTTTCTCTCAACATCTTTGGTCACGATGAACAAATCAATAGGGTTGGTAATCAAGCAAAAGAGTCTTTCTTTTCTGATTCTTCTCACCTCAAGGCTTTTGATTTGCTAGCCTCGCAGTTGCTCCATCGATAGATGACAACATGGTAGAGGCAGAGGATCAATATTAATAAAAATTATTCTAAAAAAGGAAAATTACAAGTTACTATTTTACCCCTCATTAAACTCTAAATAATAATATAAATGCGTTAAAACTCTGGTTGAATTAGACCAAGTGTCTAAGGAGGAAGGTCTCGTTGGTTGACCAATTTTGAGCTGATGAGAATAACATGCCACACACACGTTGGTAAACCAACTACAAGGTTATCAAGTTGGAGGTCAAACGACATTGTTTTTGGTTTTTCCCTTTGCTTTGTGAAATGCGCCTCTCTTCCGGTTTTCATCTTCGCTTAACCTTATCTTTGGAATTCTAAGATAAACATTTGAATATTGATGTTATATAAGTGTGTGTGAATTTTTATTATATATTGAATCCGAGTATGATTTATATATATGAACAATATAATGACTTTTTTTTTTTTATATATTTGGGCTAAATCAGATAAATTGATTGAAACCCTTTATCCATTTTTTTGGCTAACGGGATAAACCTGATTTACAATCGTTTGGTACCAAATGAATCTAGAATTCATTTCATTTTAAAATGAATTATCTCATAGAATTCATTGTTAAATGAATTCCTATGTTTTTGTATGTCATATTCAAATATTTAGAATAAATGAATTGAATTCCCAAACCATGTTGGCATACGTTTATAATTGAATTAAATTAAAAGTTTCCGACTACACACTTAATAATTTCCGACAGAAACATTATTTATTGAAAAGCTATCTTCTAAAAAATGTTTTTGGTCCCATATGTAGAATATTAAAAGTGTTATTGTATTTTTCTATTCTATTCATTAGTACTTTCCTAATATTTCATCGATAAACCCTACACTCTAGTTGTCTCAACATATTGATACAATCGAAGCATAAATATCAAATAACCAGCATATGCAACTAGCGTTGCAATAAATTCTTGTTGACGTTCCTCAAAATGCATGAATTGGCGCCACATAATATATCTGTAAGTAATTTAGTTAATAAATGAGAATAATTATGTCATTCTATTATAATTAGTAAATACTTGTGGAATTCATTTGAAAATCTCATCTCAATTCCTCGAAATTGCTATAACTAGTTTCGATTTCGTGGAATTCAAAATTTAAAATTGAAAATGAATTCTTTTAAATACCAAATTCATTTCAAAATACATTTCTCAAAACTTATAGAATTTATTTATACCAAATAAAATGTTAATAATAACTCTATCTCATTTTTGGATGGAACTTTGAATTGGAAGTGGGATACATGAACAAAATCGAAAATAAACCGAAACCCTAACAATTAACAATCCGTCCCCCCCCCCCCCCCCCCCCCCCCACCCCATCCAGGCCTTCGGCCCTTCTCTCCCACCGGAAGGAAGTCCGTCGGCTGCTCTGTCTCTACGTTTCCTACCACCATTGGAACTCAAAGTTTCCCAATCAACTTCGCCGGCGGAGGACGAAGATCGACGATCGTTCTGGTGTTTCGTCCAGTTTCGATCGATCCGATTGAAACCTACTTTTTGGTTCTTGGTGGCTCCGTTACCTTCCTCTCTGACGCCGCTGCCGTCTCCTGCTCTTGTTGATCGAAGTTCGGCTTTCTCCCTCCCTCTCTCTATCAGCTCAACTGTCTCCCTTGCTGTATCCGGACTCGTTGACTTGGGAGTTGTGGCTCCTCAGCTGCCGCCGCGACGCATTTCCTCTTAAAGTTGTATGCCAGTGCTCCATTCAAAGAATCTCCCGCTCTTAACTCCATCCCCACCGTCGGCGTTGTGTTCCTAAGATCACACCGCCTCCAGTCTCGTTCCCTGCGGTTGTTTTTCCTTACTCCTTTCATGTCGGGAGACCTTGACCATTGGTTTCTGTATTTTGTGTATCTTAGGATATTCCTGAATTTCTCTATCTGACGTTTTCAATTTTCCATCTTTCTCCTCAGCTTCCAGTCTCCCGAGCAGCTCCTGTGTGTCTTGACATTTTCAGCTGAGGAGGTTGAAGTCCATCTAGTTACAAGACATTAAGGTGAGTGTTTCGACATTTTTCGACTGGTTGTTTGTTTCCAGTGGAGAAGATGTTGATGCAATTTGATTTGGTTAGCTAGTCTTGTTACCCTCAAACACTTGGTTGGAGAGCTTGCATGTACAGTGGATGTTGTTATTTGTGGTGGCTGTCAATCGTAGCAGTAGAAATTTGCAGCATTTCTTAGGTTCTCAAGTTTTTGTTGTTGTTGTTGTTGTCTTATGATGAATTGTTCTTTGGTCAAGGCGAACAGAAGGTGGAAGTGTTGTACTTGCATGGTTAGGAAATGGAACCGGCTGTTTTGGATGATATTATTCGGCGGCTTTTAGAGGTTCGCGGTAGACCTGGGAAGCAGGTCCAGTTGTCTGAGGCAGAAATCAGACAACTCTGTGGGGCTTCTCGTGAGATCTTCTTGCAACAACCCAATTTGTTAGAGCTTGAAGCACCCATCAAGATTTGTGGTAATTTTACTGCTGCATTATGTTGACATTGAATCAACTTACGTTATTTGTTGGTTTTTCATATAGCTTTGTTGTCATTACATGTAGCCCTTCTCAACCTTAGGTTCACATCTAGCTTCTCTTTTTTCTTAACATTTGCTTCTCAGACCAGTTGCTTTGCAGTTCATTATTAGATTTGTTGGGTAAGCTTTCAATTCCCAACTCAAGGATGAGATGCTAGGTGGTAATGAGTCCCTATTCTTCTGATGCGCCTCCAATTACTATTAGTTGGCCCGTCTGCCTTGACTTGTAGGCGGAAAAGTTATAACGCAAGCTTGGCTGCTCATGATATCACTTCCAAGAGTTAAAACATATTTTTGATGTGTAATTCATCATTCCTTGTATGTTACTTTTGTCATTGCATAATGACTTGCACAAAAAGAGGGGAGGGAGGCTGGGGCCTTGATCTGTCACCTTTTTTAGCTAGTTTCCTCTATATATTCTATCACTTACCAATATCGAACAACTATTTGAAAGACTCTTCAACCTGGCTGATAGACATGGTTTGTGGTCTACAGGTGATATCCATGGTCAATATTCTGATCTTCTAAGGCTGTTTGAATATGGCGGATTACCTCCACATGCAAACTACTTATTTTTGGGAGACTATGTTGATCGAGGCAAGCAGAGTCTGGAGACAATATGCCTTCTACTTGCATACAAGATAAAGTACCCAGAGAACTTCTTTCTCTTGAGGGGAAACCATGAATGTGCGTCTATTAACCGTATATATGGTTTCTTCGACGAGTGCAAAAGGAGGTTTAATATTAGACTGTGGAAAACATTCACAGATTGCTTTAACTGTCTACCGGTGGCTGCTCTAATTGATGAGAAAATTCTCTGCATGCATGGCGGTCTTTCCCCAGATTTGCATAATTTGGATCAAATCAGAAACTTAGCTCGCCCAACTGATGTACCAGATACAGGTTTGCTCTGTGATCTGCTGTGGTCTGACCCTAGCAAAGAGGTTCAGGGTTGGGGAATGAATGACAGGGGTGTTTCATTTACTTTTGGTCCTGATAAGGTGGCAGAGTTCCTTCAGAAGCATGATTTGGATCTGATTTGTCGCGCTCATCAGGTTTACACTTGCTCTTCTGTTGGCCATGTTTTCACCAACCCTTTAAGCCCATGGAAAATGTACAATCATCAGCTTTTCCATATTCTTGGATTCTCTATCTTGGTTTTTGGCTGCTTGTATGAGTTCTGTTTTGTATTTGTTAGTCTTATGGTACTTATCCCTCCAATCTATTTTTTGCTTGCGTCCATTTTGTTTTCTTTATTGTTTTGTATGCTCTTGGAACTCATATTCTCATGCAAGGATGGATTCTTGAATCAATTCCTTTGATCTGCTATTTCTAAAATCCTCTTGAATTTGGGCGTCTCCTTTTGCTCTTTTCTACAGTCCCCGGAAGTGTGGAGGATTTTCTTCACTATCTGGCCCTTCAGCTGATTGTTTGACTTTGCTTTTCCTTATATGGGTGGTGCAGGTTGTGGAAGATGGATACGAGTTCTTTGCCAACAGACAGCTTCTAACCATATTTTCTGCGCCTAATTACTGTGGGGAGTTTGATAATGCTGGTGCAATGATGAGTGTGGATGAGACACTTATGTGCTCGTTTCAAATATTAAAACCAGCAGACAAAAAGTCAAAGTTTAACTTTGGGAATGCAACTCCTGCAAAGCCTGGAAATGCTTCAGGAGGGGTTAATGTTTTTGGAAGCACAACAACAGCTAAGCCTGGTAATACACCAGCCGGCGTGAAGGTAAATGCTCAACCTGCAGATACTTGAACTGATATTCTTTCCATTCTAGAAGTTTGTACATACAAGACTTGATGCTGGCGTATGTTTCTATTTGTGGTTACTGGTAAATACAATGTTATACTTATAAGCTATGCCCTAGAGAGTCTAGGTTTATATGCCGAGTATGTGCATGTTTGGGAGCCCGTAGGCATGTAGGTTGAGGAATGCGGCATTTCGGGAGTGTAGGGGGTTGGGTGGTGTTTCTTAAATGATTAGGTTTCATTTGCATAGAGACAGATTTCAAATTGTTGTATTGCTGGAATGATGAATTCAGAGGATGGGATTTTCTGTTCTTGGGTCCTTCAGTCATCAGCCACATGTTAGATTTTAAAATCCATTAGGGACATAATAGATTCAGGATATGATGAATTCAGAGGATGGGATTTTCTGTTCTTGGGTCCTTCAGTCATCAGCCACATGTTAGATTTTAAAATCCATTAGGGACATAATAGATTCAGGATCTATGAAGTGATAAATCAAGAAATCTATAGTGGTCTAACAATTGTGATTTTACGCTGACAAATGAACCGATGGGTTTCAGTCAATATTCATTGTCCAAAATCCAGCACCGACATGAATGATTCATTTCAAATCCACCCTGATAAACATTTTTTTTTTTGGTATCAAAATGCATTCAAAATCTAGCATCCAAATGGAATGGTACATCAATTTCTGGTTCTGTTTTTCAATCATGTTAAAAGTGCATCGTTATAATCCTGATTTTATCATTGCCATCCTTGCAGTCATTTCTCGGCACCAAAGTATGACACGGTAAAACCCTTGATCTACCGTTGGTGATGGGTTTTAGACTTTTAGTTGAGTGTTTAAGAATATGCCCAAAGGGTCAAGTCTGCAATGTTTTGTATGAAGGCCAAAACTGCAATTAAACTGGAAAACGGTGGTGTGTTTAGTTCGTTATTGAAAGGAGAAACAGGTGGAATTGGGAATGGCGGGCAAGGGACTAGAAGAGCGGCCATAAATGATCCATTTGCTTTGGTGATGTAACAAAAGGCTAGGTTTGAAGAAGGAAAGGCTGTAAACTAGTAGTAATTTGGAATTTGCTTGATTACTTTCTAATTTGCTCGTTTTTAATTCCTCGATGACACTTTTGTTAAATCGTATTTTGCTTCTAACCGATTCTTTACCGTATATACCTATCTTCATTATAAAATCAGCTAACAGACCGTTTGAACCAAATAGTTCAGGATATTTTTTTGTAGAATTTATTTTAAAATGAAATCTATGCTTGATATGTCATTCAAAACCTTAGAAATAAATTGAATTTAAGTTCAAAATAATGTTTGTAATAAGTTAAATTGAAAATTTTTAATTATACCTTTATTAACTTTAAGACAAACAACATTTCTATTCATTGAAAATCCATCTTAAAACATATTTACCATTCAACCAATTTTACAAAGCAAAAAAAAAAAAAAAACAAATCGTAAAAATTAGTATGCAATTTGAAGATCCATCTAATAAGTAGGCTATTAACAAATAAGAAAGATCATTGATAGAACTTCCACCATAGAATGCCCATTGATACCAAAACCAAGAAAAATGAACAGAGATTGTAACAACCAAAAAATAAAGAACAATCTCCATAAAAAAAAAGCTACTACAGTCGAACAATATGTAAGGAGTAAACGGTGTATAAGTGGAGCAAAGATATAATTCTAACTAGATGGGGCAAATGGAGGCTGTAGGAGTGCTGCAGTTTAGCAGAAGAATCGAATTGGGGGAATGGAGTCGGCTCGGAAAGCACACAACAGAGGTTGTAGGAGTCAAACGATGATTATATGTTGGTTAAGTAGCGACCCAGCGAAGAAGGTTAGATGCGTAATTTTAGAGTGTTTAAGTCAATTGTTTATACAAAGGGGTAATTTGCTTAATAATTGGTTATTTTATCATGATTAGTAAAATACTTACGGAATTCATTTGGAAATTCCACCTTAATTTCTCATAATTGCTAAAACTAGTCACAATTTCATATAATTCAAAATTTAGAATTATAAATGAATTCACTTATACTCTAAGCACAAAACAAATTGAGTTCACATTCACAAACCACAATCTCACAAAAACGTTTAGTTGTAAATCGTTCATTTGAATGATTTTTAAGTGCCACATCAACAAATAAATGCATGCACTGTGTTTCATATTGGAACAAAATATATACACTCTATAATACATGCATTCATAAAATAAATTATTTACATAAACTTATACAACACGACCGATATATATCGTTTCACAAATATGACACTATGAGGGTTGTCATCTTATAGTGATAGCATTTTAATGTTAAGTCTGTTAAAATGCACTTAATTACAACATATAACACTTTTGTATAGAATGCACAAGTGGGCACAAAACATTCACCTGTCACTGAGATCAAGTCTCTATAAGGATAAGCTTAACTATACAAACTTTATAAAGCGGAACAACAAGATGAGACTGGTTCTCAAGGAGGAGGGCATGTCTTATGTCCTCCTTTGTCCACCCACACCTAGACAAACCAAGAAAGAGGATCATAAAGAGGTTTAATTGTTTGATTCAAAACAAATTAACGATGTCTCACAATTCAGAATGCTCATCGAGAAATCCATTTGTCGATATGAATTGAATTGGATTATCAATCATCGACTAGAAGTCGTGAATATATGAGTTTATACACGTTTGGGTTCCTGTTATCGCCCTAGTCTGTAACCTTATTCTTTACTAGATTGTATTCGGTTAGGTCGTCTGGAGAAGTACTATATATACTTCTCAATCACTTTGTAATATGTATTTATTCAAGTATAGTGAAACTGACTATCTGCTGCCCATGGACTAGCTAACACACATTATGTTAGAAAACCATGTAAATCTAAGAGCTCTTTCCTTTATTGCATTGTCGATTATCCACCTCCGTTCTAACAAGTGGTATCATAGCCGCAATTGGCTATCTGATAGGGTTTTCGAAATAAAAGAATGCCTTCAGTGAATATTGATAACACCTAAATTGGTATTATTTACCCTTCATATTTAGGTTTGTTTCGTGCTAATTTATGTGCATAATCGTTTGAATATCGTCGATTGCATCCCTATTTCGTTCCTATTTGATTATGATGTGATTTTAGGGTGCGTTAGACAATATATGCGAATTATGTACGAAAAGGGCAAAAGTGTAGCAAAAGGTGCAGAAGGTTGATGATCACGACATGGAGATGGAGATCACAACAGAGAACAAAGTCTGCGAACTCAAGGAAAAGATCGATGCCTCAGAGGCCCAAGATCGCGGCCGCGAATTTGGAAGCTTCGTGCGCGAACGTCGTGAAGAAGCCAACCGAGGAGAAACAGAGAGTTTCCACAGTCCGATCACAACCAAAGTTCACATTGATCGCGAGGAAGTTCGTGGCCACACTTCATAGATCGCGACCGTGAAGTCAGCCGCGAACTTCTCACATTTGAAGGCCAAAATGGCGACGGCGGCAGATCATTGTGTCAAAGAAGAAGATCGTGACCGCGATTTTCACACTGCCTGGCCGTGAACTTCTCCGTCCTCTGAAGGCTATAAATAGAAGACCCCCTTCTCCCATTCAAGAGAGCTGATTTTGAGAGAGAAATTCCTCGTTAGAGAGAGAGAAGAGAGAGAGGCTGAAGGAAGGAGAAGAGGAGGAGGAGGAGGATCTAGTAGAGAGGAGCCACATTCCTCATCATCAAGTCTTTCCCAATTTCTTCTATGTATCTTCTTCCCTCCTTTATGGAGTAGTCTTTTAAGGTACTAGGGGTTCTAAATCCAAACTCTAGTTTTAGGGCTATTATGTAATGTATGAATATTTTAGGGTTTTGAATGAATGTGTTTATCTTGTTGATTTCATTGCTTCTCTAGTTTTAATTGTGTTTGGGCAAGTCGCCCTAATCTTCTCTACTAGTTCACTTGCAGCTTCTACGCTGGGTATGGAGTTTGAGGGTTAGACGGGTATGCGCCATCAAGCAAATTAGGTTAGACGAATGAATAGGATCTTATGGTGGGCGAGGCGATCGTACCCCTGCCATAGGAATTCCTTCCTAGACATAACCCGGGATGAAACCTCAGTGTGGACGGGGGTAGTACCCTTGAAATGAGTTGTGTTCTTAATGCCCACATACGATAGCCTAGACCGATGTGACTGACAAGGGTTTAGGGGAGGCATACTCGGAGGCGTGTGGATAACCACGAAAGCCCACGAAAATGAGCTCACTCACCACATTCGCTAACCCAACTTATTTATACATTGCATAGTAAACCTAGGCTAGGGTGAGGGATAGTTCCCCGAAGTACCTGCTTTTATCCTTATTTATTCTCTCTACTAGTTATTTCGCTTGAATCTTCCATCTCCCCTTAAACTTATCAGCTAGATAACAACAACGTGGGAAGTAGGCTAGGGTACCGAGACCTGAGTGAATACGACCTTTATTGCCACTATATGACAATGCCACTCTAGGTTAAACTTGGCCTAGGATGGGGTAGTTATTGAAACGTGCTAACTATTGAAAATGACTTGTACTGAATGAATCGTTCAAGTCTTTTGGCGCCATTGTCGGGGAACCTTGGTAACTAGTAGAAAACCATCGAATTATTAGTTTAGCCTTTATATTATTTGTTTTGTTTTTGTTTGTGTTATTCCCGTAGTTTTTATCGTTTTGTGTTTTGTTATCCAACTTTGTGCGTCACGGGTTGTTGAGTTTGTGTCTTGTAGCACTTTTGTATGCGAAGAAGGGAGATATTACCTCTTGATAAAGAAATTGAAAGAACCCCTCGGAATCTAAGAAGAGTTTTGAGACATCAACCTCCACCAATGGCGATCAACGACAACAACCTCAAGTTCCACCAAGTCCTAGAATAATGGGATCTTACTCAAGGCCAATTGTGGATAATGTACAATCACCTATTCTTCACCCAACAGTGTCGAACAATAACTATGAGATTAAGTCGGGCACTATTTTGATGCTTCAAAGTGCAGTTCAATTCAATGGGATAATGAGTAAAGATGCTCATGCACATATGATAACGAAGTAATTGCACATATTTGCGCCCCTAGTTCTTATCCGTTTGAGATGCATAGTCGTGTATTTTGGCCTATTTTACGCCGGGTTGTGCTATTTTGTCATATTTCAGGTCCCAGGCGTCAAAGGGAAGGCTAAGCACGAGTTTCGGGGCATTCAGAAGTCATTTCGTCGAGCTGGGGCCAAAACACGGGCACACCTAAAACAGAACACGGCCGTGTTCTGTGGCCGTGCTTTTACTGCCGAGAGCTAATTCGAGTTTGGCAAACATGAGCTGATTACACGGGCTGAAAGCACGACCGTGTCATCCAAAGCACGACCGTGTCCTCCCAAAAGCATGGCCGTGTTTGCACCAACACAATGGCCGTGTAATTAACACTAGCCAAAGCACGAGCGGGCTGAGGCATTACACGGCCGTGCCCTCGACCATGCTTTGGCCACTGATGCCCTTTTAAGCAGATTTTCAGCCAAACAGAAGGGGATTCGAGTTTTAGAGAGAGAGATCGATTCCTAGAGTGAGAAAGTGACGAGCAAGAGTTCCCAAGTGCCCTAGCTTGATCTTCATCACCATTGGAGGTCAGTTTGAGCTTGGAGAAGTGCCGATCAACGTCCAGGAGCAGGAATCCATCCTTCACAGTATGAATTCCGCGTCTGATTCTGCTTTTGCTTCTTTCTCCATGGAGTAGTTCTCCCATTCATCTGGGTATGGAGAACCCTAGATTTGTATGTTAGGTTTGATTGTATGAACCCAAGTACTGATTCTATGATTTGATTATATTCAATTGAGGTTTGATTGATTGAATGGCATGAATCCTGATCAAATTCCTGTTGTTTTTGCTTTAACCTAGAACGAGAATATCTGCCTAGGTTGATAGAGCATCCTTGATTGAAGGTAGGGAGTTGGTGACTTTAGTCGAGGAGCCAACTCACTATTCTGTACCGGATTCACTCCGGTAGTGGAGGTTTTGTTTGTTAAGGCCTCAATCTGTTTACTCCGGTGGAGGTTAGTCGCCCGCTAGAGATTCAGATTGAGAGGGTCTGAAGACCTTTAGTCGAGACTTCAGGCTGTTTAAGAACCTTCCGCAGTATAACTATCATAGAAACTGAACTTGGTAATTGCAATCTGGCTTAACTGCAGTCTAGGGGGAACCATATCCGGGTGACCTCTCTTAACCTGAATACAACAGTTTACTTGCTTTGTTTGTTTGGTAGTTTAGACTTGCATTAAAGTTTCATTGCTAGATAACAAGAATTCACTGAGTAGTCATCAAATCTAGGACCCGGGTTGATATTAAAACCCAAACCCGCTATACTACGCTTTAGGAAGTGGTTATACTTGGCCAATTCCTAGGGTGACAGTAGAAGTGAGTCAACATATCAAGTCGTTCTACGAGCTAACAGATGGAATCAAGGTGAACGGGGTTCCTCAAGAGGCAATTCGTCTGAGGCTATTTTCGTTTACTCTAAATGGAGCGGCAAAGAAATGGTTGAATAACCATCCCCATCACTCCATCGTCTCGTGGGATGATTTATACAACAAGTTATTCGCAAGGTACATTCCGCCTTCTAAGACGACTCTAATGAGAAGCAAGATTACTACTTCCGTCAAGAGGAGGATGAGCCATTCATCGATTGGTTACAAGTGGAAAACTTTCATAATGGTTTAACAAGGGAGTCATGCGACCTCATCGATGTGGCTATTGGAGGTGCCATAAGGAACAAGGAAGTCGGTGAAGTTCAAAGATTGATTTAAGAAATTGACCTAAATAGCTACGATTGGGGGGACGGAAGGAGAGGTAAGAGTGTGAAGAAGGGAAGTTTATTGAAGATTGAAGAACCATCGTAATTAGCAGTTCATATACAAGAACTTTCCAAGAAAATTGATCAAGTGGCATCATCAATGATATGCAATGGGAAGAAACTCATGAAATGTGATTGGTGTGGCGACTCGAGTCATTCTATGGAAGAGTGTAAGTCTATGATTGAGGCCTCAATACAATTTGAGCAAGCCAACTTTGTTGGAGGGAAATCCCGAGGAAACAACCCTTATAGCTCTACATATAATTAGGGTTGGAGGAACCATTCTAACTTTCTTTGGTATTCTCCGACGGATAGAAACCTCCAGGATTTCAATCTCAAGCTCATATGAAAAATGATTACTCAAGGCCGAGTCAACCCTCGTACCAAGGAGCTTACCAAGAGAAAAGTCGAACATCCGATGGTCGAGTCTCTAAATTTGAAGACTTGGTAGGCCAATTCGTTACACACTCCAACAAGAAGTTTGAGACTATTGACAAATTCATAGAGAATACTACAACAAAATTATCAAAGTTTGGAAGCGGGTCAAATGAATCAACAAGCTTCACTTCAAAATCTTGAAGCCCAACGAAGCTCGTTGGCGCAAGCTCTATCTTCAAGACAACAAGGAACTTTACTGGGCAATACTTATCCTAATCCTAAGGAGGGATATCATGCGGTAACTCTAAGGAGTGGCCGACCTCTGAAGGAGGATCCTATCTTAACACTGAGGATACCGGTAAGAGAAGTTCAACGTGAAGTTGTTCAAGCAAAAGAGTTAGTTCGGGAAGAAGTGCAAACTACTACCGAAATCAAGATTGAAGATGATGAAAAGTCTAAGAAGATTCAATTCAAGCACTCAATCCAATACCAAAAGCTCCTTATCCTAGACGCTTATTCGAAAGTGATCTATATCATGAATGTGCTCCATGGAAGGATACCTTAAAGCAATTGAAGGTAACAGTCCTTTTCTTGGACATGGTTATGAATATTCAGAAATATACTAAGTTCTTGAAAGAAATATTGTCGGGAAAGAGGAAAATGGAAGAAATTTCTATGGTATCCATTAGTGAAGTTGCTTCAAAATCCATTGGATATGAAGGCTTCCCTTCAAAATTAAGAGATCCGGGAATCTTCCCTATTCCATGCACCTTCGGAGTCAAAACCTTTTGGAATCCGCTAGCAGATTTAGGGTCTAGTATCAATATTATGCCAATAAGAATATACAATGAGTTAGACCTTGGACCACTCATGCCTACTATAATGCGGATTGAGTTGGCCAATAGGTCCGTTGTCGAGCCAACAGGAATCGTAGAAAATGTCTTGGTGAAATGTGCTCATTTTGTCTATCAATTGGACTTCGTGGTTCTCGACACGGAAGGATATGATGCATCGATAATCCTAGGCCGACCATTCTTAGCTACGACAAGGATCATTATCGATGGGAGTGGGAGCAAGATCACCTTACAGTTTGGAGAGGAGGAGATAATTTACAAGATGAATCCAATCCTCAATTTTCACTAGTATTACGAATGGGACGACATCAAGATGGATTGTGAGCCGATGACACCTCTACCACACCACCTCCAAGTTGCGAGATAGAATGGTTCAATATGGTCTCTCATGTTGACCCTCATGATAGAAGAGTGGAAGGTGTGAGTGATCCTTGCAAGATTAAGAAGAGGCCAATCAAAGAAAAGTTTCCATACCAAAGGGTTACTCGAGAGTTGTTCAAAATTTCTCCTCAAGCCAATGATTATGGAAGGAAACTTAGAATATTCATCTTTGAAGAAAGATACCCCAAGGAAAGCGTTCGAAATGTTATGAGCAAGCTATCTCATATATTCAAAGATGAAGAATCCGGGGAATGCACATATAAGGACATTTATACAAGGGAGTATAGTTCTTTCAATCATGAGCACCAATCTCCGGATATGTCTTTTGAATCTCAAGCACCAGATGACGCATTCAAGAGACTTCATGGTCTTCATCTCCACCATAAGTATGATTTTTATGAAGAATAATAGGTGGAGAATGGATCTTACCTCTTGATCTCAAGGAGTCAAGTCTGGCGAAAAAAGACTTTAAAAGACGTGCTAGTTGGGAGGCAACCCAACAACTCGGTTTGCGTATCTTTTCCTTTTTCCTTTTGAATAATTGCTTAAGTAAGAGGAGTAGAATTGCGTAGATGAAGATTGATAGGACTTTACCCTTGCCTCGCCTTGTTTTTTGGATGTTTGATTGACCTAGATGAATGATTAAGCTTAAGAAGTGGGTGAAAACATGATGTTTGTGTTTAGGGCAAAGATCGTGGTTGTCACGCCAGAGATCATGATCGCAATCTCGTAGCAACAACCCGGGATCTTGTACGCGTTTATTTAAAGGGAAAACTGCACATTGCATCCATGTGTAGTCTCTCCATCTCATCTTTTAGATCTAAATGTTGTGTTTCTCCACCTCTCTTAGCTTTATGAGCATACCTTCTCTACTTCACTTTCCCATCTTTTGAGAAGTATTTTTGGTTGTTTTTTAATTTCCAACATGAATCCTAGCAAGATAAGGTACACATTTTCATTTCTCCATATTTTAATTACCTTCTTTTGCTAACCATGTGTTGAAAGCTTTTAGGACTTGAAATCCTCATCCTCGTCTTTTCATGACCTTTTGATGCCCTAGGAGTATTTTTTTGCTTTAATGTTCATGCTATACATTTTGGGAGACCTTGGTGGGCTATTTCCATGTATTTCTTGAGTTTTCAAAGACCGCCCACCAAGTGTTCGAAGAAAGTCTCCAACTACACAGTTCCTATTTTCTTCAATCCTACTCATTGAGCATCAACTTCTATACACTTGTTAACTCTTGTTTACTTTATTGTGTATTGTTTGGGGAGACCCTAGCAGATTTCCTTGTCATTGAACTCCAACTTCAACTAAGTACTCTCTTTCGTGCATGCCTTAGTCTCACTTAAGTGTGGGGGAAAACTTAGAGAGTTGTTGAGGGTTCTTTGAATATTGCTTTTCATGGTATGTGGTGTTCGGATTGATGGTTTGTACATTTTGTACTACTTGTTTTGAAGGATAATTTACAACACTAAGGAAATGCAACGTGGAGAGAGTTCTTCTAATATGGAGCGTTCTCGAACCTCTAATCCTCGATATGACCTTCAAAAGAATAAAAGTAAATCCGAGTCAAGGGAAGTAGTTGTTGAAGAACCACATCCACCATTACTCTCTCCCCACCTACAAAGGGAAGTCCATCAAGATAATGAAGCTAATGTTGGAGGCGGCATAGACCACATCACTTAATATTATTTGGACAATGTCCCCTAGCAATTTAAGACCAAACTTTCATGGCTTCAAGGATACTCTTTGCGAGAGTACATGTCTCAACTGGATTGAGTATTAGGCATCCATGGCCTAAGTTCTATGTTTTCTTTTTCTTTGCTTTTATTTCTTTTACTTTTAAACAATGTTTAATTATTGCTTTACATTTGTTTTTCTTTAAAGTACTTTAAATATTCTAGTACTAGTAGTAATCGTACTTATATTATCTTTTTATCGTACCTATAACTCTTAAATGTCTTCCTCTCTTTATTATGCGCTTTATCGTTGTGAAAACCACCAGAAAGACCTACACTTGTGTACCTTCACCAACCCACAACCCATCCTATGGTAATCTTCATGATCTTCTCTTTTGAAACTCCCACATTGAGGACAATGTGTTGCTCAAGTGGGGGGGTGGGGGGGATGTGTTTGAATGCTTGAATGATTTTCATGATTGATTGAGCCATGGATTGCTAGTATCGTCCCTTGTTTATGAATGCTTATGGGAGTGTATGCTAGCGGTTGTGTGTGTGTTTCTGGTGTTGGGTGGCCAAATGATAGTGTTTTGGAACCTTGAACATTGATAGTAAAGTTTTCTCGTCTCCGTTTAGTCTTCTTTATGCAATGAAGAACTAGAGTGTATCACACCTTGATTTGTTTATCAAGTTGCATTGGATTGAGTAGGCTTGCTTGGGGATAAGAAAACGCCTAAGTGTGGGAGAGTTTGATAACACCTAAATTGGTGTTATTTACCCTCCATATTTAGGTTTTTTTCATGCTAATTCATGTTCATAATCATTTGAATAGCATCGATTGCATCCATATTTCATTCCTATTTGATTATGATGCGATTTTAGGATGTTTTAGACAATAAATGCGAATTAGGTACGAAAAAGGACACAAGTGTAGCAAAAGGGGCAGAAGGCTAATGATCACGGCATGGAAATGGAGACAACGACGGAGAACAAAGACTTCAAATTCAAGGCAAAGATCGCGGCCTCAAATCCCATTATCACGTCCACGAATCTGGAGGCTTCGGGCGAGAACTTTGTGAAGAAGCCAGCCGAGGAGAAACAGAGAATTTTCCCAGTCCGATCACGGCCACAATTCACATTGACCGCGATGAAGTTCGTGGTCAAGATTCACGGATCGCGACCGTGAAGTCAGCCCGCAAACCCCTTGCATTTCAAGGCCAGAACGACAACGTCGCCAAATCGCGACCTCAAGGAAGAAGATCACGACTGTGATCTTCACACTGCCTGGCCGTGAACTTCTCCATCCTCTGAAGGCTATAAATAGAAGACCCCCTTCCCCCATTCAAGAGAGCTTATCTTTAGAGAGAATTTCCCGGTTATAGAGAGAGGGAGAGAGATAAAAGAAAGAAGCTGAAGGAAGGAGAAGAGGAGGAGCTAAAAAAGAGGAGTCACCTTCCTCATCATCAAGTCTTCTCCAATTTCTTCTATGTATCATCTTCCCTCCTTTTATGGAGTAGTCTTCTAAGGTACTAGGGTTCTAAACCCCAAACCCTAGTTCTAGTGCTATCATGTAATGTATGAATATTTTAGGGTTTTTAATGAATGTGTTTACTTAGTTGATTTCATCGCTTCTCTAGCTTTAATTGTGTTGGGTAAGAATCCCTAATCTTCTCTACTAGCCTACTTGAGCTTCAACGCTGGGTAAGGAGTTTTAGGGTTAGACGGGTATTCGCCATCAAGCAAATAAGGTTAGATGAATGAATATGATCTTATGGTGGACGAGGCGATCGTACCCCTGACATGGAAGGGATGAAAACTTGGTGTGTATGGTGGGTAGTACTCATTGAAATGAGTTATGTTCTTAATGCCCAAGATACGATAACATAGATCGAGTTGACTGACATGGATTATGGGGAGGCGTACTCAGCGGCGTGTGGATAACCATGAAAACCCACGGAAAAGAGCTCACTCACCACATTCGTTAAACCCAACTTATTTATACATTTCATAGTAGACCTAGGCTAGGGAGAGGGATAGTTCCTCGAAGTACTTGCTTTTATCCTTATTTGTTTTTCTCTACTAGTTATTTTGCTTGAATCCTCAATCCCAAACCCTTAAACCGATCGGCTAGATAACAACAACGTGGGAAGTAGACTAGGGTACTAGGACCCGAGTGACGTCCAAATTTAACGCGCTATATCTTTTTGATTTTAGGTCCAGATTTAATTTATTTTGGGCTGAAAAATCACATTAGTCGTACTCTTCAAATGATATACATTTTAAAACAAAAAGATTGAGGCATATATTACAAGTCTATATTGTGATGATAATGATTGGTAGCACATAACGTTATATCATGGTGGTATGAATATATTATAGTTTAAAATGGTTGTATGCATGATACTAGAAATATATTAATCTCCATTTACCACTTTTTATCACAATTTACCATCTTATACGAGAGTGGTATATATAGTCCTTCAATTTTTTTTTATAAATTTATAGATTACAATTAATTATATTGAACTTGTTTCTTTAGTGTAAAAAATTTCAAGAGTTGAGTTAATAATGAATATGGTAAATAGTTGTCGCAACCGTCCCGTAACACCAGTGGGTCCGAATGTCGTCGCGTCGGCATTTTTGGGAGCCGCCATCGATCTACTTGGAGTGGATCGAACACTCTTAGGATCGGCTCTAACCTTAGGGTCGGAACTGAGATATGGTCTGCGAAAATGAAGTTCTGGGTTCGGGAGTACGGTTACGTGTGGGGAAGTTAAGCAACACCCCCACAACGCCCTAAATCGGTACTACTTAAGTTGATAAGTTTAAATGTGTTGGGTGTGTTTTTAAGTAATAATTTTGTAATTTTAGGGTCCCACTGGACCATTTAATGATTTTATCGTATTAGTTGTAACTTAATTACACGCCCACTGACGTACAAATTTAAATATAAAGTTAGTGGATTAGTTGGACTCGAACCTTATCGGTTGCCTACGTACCCGTTAGACGGGATCAAAGTCCACGTAGTTCGTTGGAATTTTGATAATTTTAATAATAACTTTTACCACGTTCCACTGAACGTAATTTTCAAATTAAAGATTTGTTGATAAAATTTAAGTTTATTATGATGAAATTATGAAAAATAAGAATATAAGAATTTAAGTAATTAGGAAGTGTTTTGACGTATTAGAAAAAAAACGAGATAAACTTAATCCGCATTCAACATTTCGTATTAAGGATTTTAAAGCGAATAAATATAAATGAGATGATTGTATTGACAGATGAGAGGCCAGCAGCCCCACTGTTGAAGCGCCAGACACATATCCACGAAGACCCGAGTTCGAATCTCAGTGGACACAAAATTGATATTTTCGTTTTTTAATTCAGGAATGGGGGAAGGGCATTTTGGTAAATGACCAAAAACTCGATGGCAGGGGCGTGTAGTATTTGCGAAACCCTAAGGGCATAATAGTCATTTTGCACAACCAGGTATAAATTCTTCTCTAGAAACCCTAAGAGGTCACTGTGGTCGCCTCTCGCCTCTCTTCTTCTCCTCTCACTCTCTCGTCTCTCCCAGAGACCCAAACCCTAGCCGCCATCCCTTCTCGCCTCTCTCTTCTAGAGCAAAGACACCTAAACCACTGCCTGCCGCCGCCGTTCTCCCTCGCCTCTCGCCTCATATCTCCTCTCATTCTCCTCCTCTTCCCTTCTGGAAGAACAAATCGAACCAAATAGAAAGGAAAAAAAACGAAAGAACAAAATCATCATCTCTCCCTTCCTAGTCATCTCTCATCCTCCTCTGAGACGAGGACAACAAACCCCAAGCGAGACTGCTTTTCCTCTCGATCCGCCGTCGGTCATCCAGATACGACCCGAAACCCCAAATCGGCCATCAGAAGAGAAACGACCTAGGTAAATCCCGACATGCACATTTCCTTTCTTAGGATTTTTGGTTTTTTAATAGAATTCTAACCTTTTTCGTTTTGTTTGAATCAATGGTTTCTAGGTTTTGGTTTGGGCGAAGGGGAATAGCAACCGGCAGAAGATGGAGAACGGCTCCCCTTTTTATTCAGGCAAGAGAATGACTCTAGCCTCCCTAAATCGATCGGGAATCGACGATCTAGGTAAGATTCTCGACATGCAAGGTCTCTTCAATCCGTTTTAGGTGATTTTATTTGGGATTCAGCTAATATTTATTTCTTTTTTCTCGTATTTTGGATTTGGTCGGCGGCGATACCCTGCCGACGACGATCTACGGTTCCAAACAAAAGAAAGGTAGGACTTCAACTCCTAAATTTATGTCAATCTATCGTTTTTATTTATTAACAAAAAAAAACTTAATCTAATTCGTTCTTTTTTATAGGTTTGAAAGAGAGGCCAGATCTGGGTAAGGCTCTTCTAACCTCGGTCTGGTATAATTAAGGATAATTAAATTGAAGAAACGGATTATTATTGTTGATTTGGGATTGATTAGCATATATGTGGTTTGGTAACATGATGTATGTGGGTTTGATGACCATCTATGAGTTCGATGATTTTGGTGTTTGGTGGATAGTTTTAGATGCAAATCTTGATATATTGGAATTTGCTAGAAAGAAGAAAAAAAGTTTTTTTAATGGGTAAGTAATTAAATTGTCCTAAAATAGCTAATTTTGGTAATTATAAATCATTGCCTCTGCCCGTGATGTCTCTAAATTATGGACTTTGTGTTAGTTTTTTTTTAATCTGAAAATTATTGTGATTGGGCGATTTTGTTTGGATCTTGATATAGGTTCATCCATGAACTTCTAAAAAGTGGTTTTTGCTTCTAAAAAAAATGTATGCTATCCAGTAGTACTTTAACTTGCCCATGTATGACTACGAATGAGGGAATCTAAGTATGGCAGAAAATTAACTCAAAACATCCACCTCTACTCATAGTTAAGTCAATAAGCATAGTAGTAATAGCATAGACGAAGCTAATAATACAAGAGGAAAATGAAACTTTAATGGTAGAGCTTAGTGAAGCTTATACGAGCAGATCTTGGTAAATGGAGTGCTTGAATGTAAAGAAGCTTGAAAGTAAAACGCTAGATTGACGATTTTGACATTAAGGTGGCTGACTATAAACTTGACAAAATGAAATGAGATCTTATTAAGAAGGTAGCTGGGTATAAACACCAACCTGGTTGAAGCTTCTGTCCTAAGAATGAGCTCCTTTTGCTTCTCTTCAAATCTCTGGACTGAACTTCGTTCAAAAGAAGGATCGAAAATGAAAACAGGATGATAGTGTTTCTATCGAATATTTGTATCTTTCTCCTTCTTCCAATCGTCCTCTCCCAACGAAGAGCTCAAGGAGCTCATTTAAAGCAAAATGAACTGTCACGTGTCTTCTCTTCATTGGCCAATTGTGGGGCAAATTTTGAGAACTCCACACAGTTGGTCGGTTCTGCCTGGTCAGGATAGGGTTGGCACACAATTCAGTGCTGGTTGGGCCGATGGATAAGGTTGGGCCGACTCAGGTTTGCAGACTTGTGGGCTTGTCTAGAATCACCTGGGTTCAAAACGGGCCGAGTTGGGCTGGATGTTTGTTGGGCCGAGCTCTGGGCTTGAACTGGTTTCAATTTGGTTCTTTTGCAGGTCTGTGGCTGGTTTGAGCGCCAAGGGGAAGGGCTTCAAGCCTAGTTTGGGTTTTCATTTGGTTGGAGTTGTATTTCATTTTATTTTTGCATATGTTAATAATTGTATTTAAGAGCTCATGGGATATTAATCAAGGTCATCTAGATGTAATCCTTTATGATGATGTATAATTGACAAACAAAACATCTATTTCCTTTATTCAATTGAGTTCGTCTCTAATGTCCTATCCAAATCCAAACGCAAACCTTGAGTAGTCTTTTACCCGGTAGACCAACAAACCATAAGATTAAAGTTACCATTGCTTTCGTCCAATTGAGTCAATCTCAAAACTAGACATGGGTAGCTTTGGTCATTGAAGCTTTAGATTTGCCACTGCAAATCTTAAATAATTTATCTAGAATTGTATAGGAATGATCATGGTAATCATTAGCGTCACTAGCAATCCTGATCAATTTGATATTAGGACTAAATAAGACTGAAGCTTGGAGTCAATGGTACTTATTGACTAGCCACTGCTAATCTCAACCAAAATATTTCAACTTTCTTTCTAAAAATCATTGTGATGCACAATTAGTTTTTTTTTTTATTAATATAATTAGCATGATTGCTCCGGACAAAATGTGGTGTCTACAATAGTGGTACGAGCAAATTTTGAGAACGTATCGAAAATAGATATCATTTTGTAGATCACAATGATATGTATAGTTTGAGTAAAAAAAAATTAAAATCCAAGTTAAAATAAACGAATATCAACCCGATTAAAAATAGTAGAATTTTTTTTAAAAATGTAATATCACTCCTTAGATCTGACCCAACCCCAAACAAGTTAACTAAGAACAAATAGGTTATGCACCCTATTCTAGATCCATATAAGGGGTGAGATTCAATTTTTTTTTCTACTTGTTTATCATGTTGCATCTTCTTCTTTTTAACCCAAAATTTATTTGTTTGCACATGCGACTATGCCATATAATTATTGTTTCCATATCATAGCAATATATGAAACCCTAGGTTGAATAGTGCACCTACCCATCCCTTGATTCGCCATTCTAAGTCATTCCTGAGGGATTCTATCTCTAAACGGTAGGGTAGTGAATCGATTAAGTGAGGATAGTACTTAACGTCGACCCAAATGATGGAACTAGGAGGAGTAACCCAAGAGAGCTACCAACCTTGTGAATAGCTAGGTTAGTTAGTTTAGTCTTCTTAATCACTATCCTAGATTGGCTAGATAACGAACTCTAAACTCAAATTAAGGTAAGCCTAGATCCCCATGGTTCAATAAATTTTATTGCTTGCTTACCCTGTGCTACACCCGATCGTCCATTATACTTGGCCGTCGATTGGGAAGTTGTTGTTAGAGCGAGTCACATACAAATGGAAAGGGTTCATTGTTTGATATAGGGATGGCTATTTGGTTCGGGTTTTTTGGTTTTACCCAAAACCGGACCGAGACCGGATAGTAAACAATAAAATCCAATTTTTGGGCTTAGATTTGAGGTAAAAAAACCGTTCAAGACTGGATCGAAAACTGGATAAAGATCGGATAAGAGAGCTCAACACCCAAAACTTAAAGGTAATTTGCATAAACGGTCACAAACCTTTGCACTTAGTACAAAACTTAACTAACTCCTCACCCTTTCAGGCCATAGGTCACTCAAATCCCCACAAGCTCAATATAAAATCAAGACCGAATTGGGACCGGACCGGATCAAGACCGGACTGTATCCAATCCAATCTTTGGTCCTTATATTTTCAAAAAGACCGGACTGGATCAGATCAATTTGGACCAATTTAACCGGACCACTTGCCGGAGAGAATCAGAGAATGATGATGTATAATAACAAGAAACGTAGAAATGGAAGATGACTAAACATACGAGGCAAGGAGAGTTTGTGTTGTGTTTGCAAATGAAAGTGACGAAAAAGATGGGCAGACTGATGGAGTAAAATTGATTGATGTGAAATTAAATTAAATGTCCGTCTCAATTATAATTGAGAGTGATATATATGTTGTGACTTAAAAGTGAAAGGGCTACGTATACAACGGCTGAGACGCAACTAGAATTGTAATGTCAGACACAGATTTCATTTTTGTGCCATGCTTTTGCATACATGTATTATATAAGTATCTAGGGAGCAAGTGACACATATCGTTCGTTCGTTCGTCGCTTCTTCTTCTTCTTCTTCTTCTTCTTCTTGTCATGGCTGGGCTTTCCGCAGTGGCGAAGATGGTTGGCCTAGTAGTGGGCTTAGCCATATCGGATTGCAGTTTGGTCAAGGCAGTGGCAGACACGCTTCCTTGGGTGCCGCTTATGGTGTTTGGCGATTCGCTGGTGGACAGTGGAAACAACAATTACGTTGACACCACGCTCAAGGCAGATTTGCCTCCTTACGGGATCGATTCTCCCACCGGCCGCCCAACTGGCCGCTTCTGTAATGGCCGCAACTTCGCCGATCTCATCAGTACGTAATCCATGCTTGATTGGATTTGATGAGTTGCAGTCGAGACATCTTTCTTTCTTTCACGTGCAATGGTACGGATTAGTTCCAAACTCAACCTCGCCATATTACATATTAGGTGAAGTTCTTAAGTTGCCGGAGTCCCCATCGCCGTTCTTGAGCCCGCAGCTTAGCGGGGAAAGGCTGCTCTACGGTGCGAATTTCGCCTCCGGCGGAGTTGGGATATCGAATGACACGGGAATCCAGCTAGTAAGCTTTCTCCACCCTTTTCCGGGTTCTTATGTAATAATCGTAGAGTAAGTATTCATTAATTAAAAAAAAAACTTATCATTATCCATAATATGATTTTATAATTGTTAGGTATATTACATAAAGATTATGAAACGATAGTTATTTTTTATGAATAGTTGAATCAGAAGGGTCATCATGTAAGACTTTTGTGATGACTTATCACTTTACGTGATGCGCAGTTAACATTCATGACATAAAAAGACCGTTCATTATATAATACTTCCGTAATAACCTCTTACAACTGCGTAAGATATGCATATGTTACGTATGTTGTGGAAATTGTTCACGTATGCTAATTCTTGCAACACAATTACTCACATAATGAAATCCAAGTGATAAAAGGTTAAGGAGAAGAAATCAAGACTTATGCATAAAAAGTTTATCAAAACATGCATAACTAACGTCTGAGCCAATAGAATTCAATCCTTAAGAAATTTAGTTCCCCTCTACGTACGGTACCCAAGGTTAATGGAACTATTCCTCCCAACATTGAGCGAACGTACCTTTTCTGGCGTACCGGTACTTGAAAGTTGAAACCCCAGAAACGAGCGAACGCAACGATCAGTCAAAAGTCACACGACTCTGTTTTCTTTTATGTGTTTGTAGAGAGGAAAATGAAATGAAAAAGAAAAGTGTTATCTTTCTTTCGACCTAATAACCTTTTAGGTTCGTTCTATTGTATTTTACGTAATGTGACCCTTCGGGTGGGTAGTTACACCTGAACCAACATATGGGTTCACTTTAAAATAATGAACCATTGCATCGGTTCGACCCATGGTAGTCGGACCGGTTGGGTCACACCAACCGCACATCGGTCCGGTTCAAATCGGTTAGGTCCAGTTGGTTACACAAACTAATTTGACCCAATTACCAAAATATTTAATCAAATCAATTTACCGAATTCAATGTCTCCTTCCCATATATAATCAATATGGTATTTCAAGAGCTTCTCTTGGCTCATTCCCCTTTCATTTCCATTCACACCATTAAAAATCCAAACAACGTCCATTATTAGAGATGTATAAGATCCACAATTAACCTTCTCCCAACAACTCGAGTTATAATGACCTGGTTTATGACAATCATTACGTAGTGACTATTGTATTTTACGTAATGTGATTTATGATAGCAAGTAATAAAAAATAAAGTTGCTTTTTTTTTAGAAAATTTATCTTATTTGAAGACACTAGCATCCTTACCCGCGCGCCGCGCCGGGATAGGTGTTGTATTTAGGTTCATTGAGAGAAAACAATAACTCCTAATTTAGTAGATAGCACATAAATTGTTTCATGAATTTGTTACTTTCTTCGGTTTGTTTATTAATTAATATATGCTGGTATCAGCACTGCTAAAAAATGCCAGATTTCCTCGCATGCATTGGGTAGCCACCACACTTTATTCTCCGTAGATAACTGAAACAAAAATGGGGCAGAATCGGATGATGCACTTGGCTACTATAATAGCTCAAACTGGAAAATTCTGCAGGCATACCACTTTTTAGAGAAATATGTTGCAATCAAATAGAGAAAGCAATAACAAAGGTTTTCCTTTACAATAAAAAATGGCCGCTCAAAAACCCTAGAAAAACCAGGCAGCCAAGCTACCTAAAAAGAGATGGAAATTATGCCAAGTACCCACAGTGACATGAGTATCACACTGAAGTTCAAATAACCCACAGTTCTTAAAAGAACCCATAATAGTAACCATTTTATTACAGCTTGATGTTCAAATTACTAACAAACCACATATATATTCATTATAAATACAAACTGCTAACAAAAAAACTGCCAAAATGCAACCTCATGCCTACGTGATCTAGCGTGCTTCGATACTGCATCTAAACATAAGCAGAGTTCCTTTTTCTATGTGTAAGGCCCCCTTCTTTAAACCCTTCAAATCTGAACATATACCCACCCAAAGAACACGACATGGGCAGTCTCCAATGTAACTGGCATTACATCTAACGCAAACATAGAAGTTAAAAAAATGCAACATAAGATTTTTCCAAGCATCAGTGGGCATTAATATATTTGTAGTAACAGTTTAAGGAACATTCAAAATCAGAACAATCCATCAAGATATATATAGAAATTGTAATTACGGAGAACTTGAGATTTGCTACTCACAACAGTAAGATCATAACACAGCCAAATTTGGAAGTGAAAGAAAAGAGGAGAAGTAATAGAAAAAAGCAAGAGATAGGGAGCTCACCGATTGATATGACCATTCCCTCCACTCTTCCCGTATCGAACCTTAAAGATGATAAAAAGAAAACTCATTCAGTGTATTCTACGGGGTCTTAGAGGTGAATGATGCATCGAATCGGAAGGAAGAGACTCAGATTGCAACCGAGTTTACCAACAGAGCTCGTGAAGGACTTCAGCTTCCCTGCGTTCATTTCTTTTTAGAGGCTCTGTGTGTCAAAAATTCTGTCTTGTACTGCGGCTCTCATCCCCGCCAAACAAAAGTTACCGCCGCCCATCAACCGATCATGATTGGCTTCAACCACACAAACACTAAATGAGAAAAAGAAACGACAAACTCATAAAAAGTAAATGCCAATCACCTTAAATAGAAAGCGACCCCAGGAACGTGAGGTCCAAAAATGGAGCAGCATCGTTTCGTGGGTTCCCCATAAGAACAATCCTCCTTCTCACAGAACATCGCCATCCGGAAGCTACAACAACCTCGACCTAAAGCTTCAAAGTACAAAAGTCAAGAAAAATTGTCAAAATTGGAGCTCGGAACCACTCCGCATCGAGATAGGCAGAAAACATATATGGTCAACATATATCAAATTTACTTCTCATAATCACCTCAAATCAAACGGAACCTGTGAATATGGATCTCCTCAGAACCCATGCCAGACCTCTCCGCCATTGATTGCTTCAATCCTCTCATCTCCTACAAAACCAGAAGAATAGAATCAACAGAGGTGATAAGAGAAAGCTTAACACAGAGAAGAAGTGAGAGGAGGAAAGGTAGAGAGAGAGTGTTTCGAAATTAATGGAGGAAGAAGCTGTTAAAAAGTAAAAACCCTTTCTCTGGGCATAGAGAATTGCGTTGGTTAGGTAAAATGGATGGACCAAAAGTAAACAACGTGGCTTCTAACTTGCCAAGTAATCTCTGCTTCCCTTACCAGCTCAACCAGTGCTCTCACCGCTCCTAGAGAATTGCGCGCATAGAGAATTGAGCCTCAATCCAAAGCACGCCAAAGAAACCCAAAGAGAGAGGACAGGTCAGCCCCATCAGCCCCATCAGCAACCAAAGAAACTCCTTTCAATCAACTTTTCAGTCCCTCTCATGGCCCACCATCTCTGAGCTATCCCATCTCCCAGCACAGTCTCTCCCAAACCCGCCAGATCTCCCACCACTCAACGATCCCTACCCAGCAGAACACCCACAGAGTAACCGAAAAATCCTCGATCCGCGTGCCCGCTCGGGCCAAAGTCACATACCGATCTCTGATGACCAACGCGCGTCCGGGCCACCAAACGACCCCAACTAAGGCCAATCAGAAGCTAACGACCAGTCCCACCCCGATCGAGCCCCCAAACTCCGTCAGATCCCAATGAGGCCTCACCCAACAACAGCCCACACGCCAGCCCACGCCAGTTTGAAACAGTAAATCTCAGTCACAATGGACAGTAAAAGGTGTCTGCGTGTACAGTACCAGGGGCTGCGGTGGGTCAGGAAATTCCAATTATTTATTTATTTTGGTGTGATGTTGGTGTTATACGTAGGGGAACATAATAAGAATGCCGGAGCAGATCGCATCCCTGGAGCGGTACCGGACCCAGTTGGCGGCGGTGGTCGGAGGGAAGGAAGAGGCCCGGAAACTGGTGAATCGGGCACTGTTTTTCATCAGCCTCGGCACTTGGGACCTGGTCGGCAACTATTTCTCGCCCCCTTTCTCAGCCCGTGCCGGCCAGTCCACCGTGGCGGATTTCATCGATTACCTCATCTCCGAGTACGCGATAATCTTGCGGAGGTTGGTGGAGCTGGGGGCTCGCCGCGTTCTGGTGCTCGGGCCGGGCCAGTTGGGATGCCTGCCGGTGGAGTTGGCGATAAGGGGCAGGGGCAGCAACCGCGCCACGGACTGCGGTTCTGAGATCCAGACAGCTTCGTTGCTCTTCAACTCTCAGCTCACCCAGATAACTCAGCAACTCAACCGTGAGCTTGGAAGTGACGTCTACGTTGCTGCCAATAGGTATATGATGGCCTATAACTTCATCAACAATCCTGATGCTTACGGTAAGTAAGTACGTGTACTATGGTATTCATCAATGTTTAAATTAATTGTTATTATTGTATTATATATATGTTTCTGATCAACATACCAAGTGTTTGAAATGTCAATTGTGTACTCAAGTTTATGGTAAGTACTATACTATGGTATTCATCAACGTTTAGGCCTAATACAAATAAGGTGTTCCGTCTAGTTTACACATTTTGTCAATTGAATCACCAAGTGTTTGAAATGTCAATTGTGACCTCGGGTTTATTATGTCCGTTAGTGATCAACGGTCGATACATTGGCCAATGACGTGTGTGATGATTTATGTCACGTCATACAACTAGTGACATATTTTAAATGAATTGTTTGGATATTCTTGGTATAGTCTTTGGAGTACCAAATACATGGACATATTTTAAATACATACCTAGCGTATTACTTGTGAATTTCAAATATTTATAAACAATTAGCGATTTGAAATTTTTCATAGCATACAATAGGACTTGTTTATGAAATTTTAAAAGTTAAGATATGATAAAGCAAAACAATTATACAGATAATAAAACATAATTTCACCACTCAAATTAATAGACCAATTTGTATAAAAAAAATTAGTTACTAAATTGAAAGAAAATTTAATTTTTGAGTACTAAAATGGAATTTTTCCAAAAAGTGTAAATCTTTTGCTTGAAAACTCAAACTAAAAGAACTCTAAACTTCGGAAATACGAAAAAGTTGTGAAATCAATATTTAAACGACGAATTAGAATTTCATATATTTCCATTGCAATCATTTCGAATTCATGATTTCAAATACATGCATTTGAAATAACTCGATGACTATGTTGTCCAGGTTTTACCGAAACAGGCGTGGCCTGTTGCGGGCAGGGTCCTTATAACGGGGTTGGCCAATGCACACCTGCATCGAATCTTTGCTCAAACCGGGATGAGTATGTTTACTGGGATCCCTACCATCCAACAGAGAGATCTGCCGAGGCAATACTCGAGGTGATCTTGACAGGTCCTCCAGACGTCATCTCTCCAATCAACCTCAACACCATGATGGCCGCAAACACTGAGACTTAATTTTCAATCATTCTGATTTCATGCATAATAAAGAAGTTTGTACTTACAGTTGACATTTTGGTCAGACAGACACCTATGAGCTATATATGACTATATATGTTGTTTTCTCATTTCTATGTCGTTGTGTTTTTTTTTTTTTTTTTTCCAACTATGAGTAGCTAATACAATTTGTTATTTAGGTCTGTGGAACCTAGAATGCTTCAAGATTTTTTTATGATTATTTTATGATAACACAATATCTATTGAGTTCTTATTATCCTATTTCGTGGTTCTGGGTATTGCTAATAACATGGTTAATTACTGTGCATCAAATGAGTATGAGCGGAAATTACACTAATGTGTTTGTAGGATCACCAATACGAGAAGTCGAGAACCTACCTTCGTATGTTGATTGTAGTGACAACAATACTTATGGCATAGTCGCATGTTATATATACAAAGCTCAGCTATGCTAATTGTACGTATTGACAACAATTGAGTTATATAAGCTGGCGAGTGATAGGGTGAATTATGGATTGGAACTCGATTATATATGTTTGACTTGATTTATATGTCAAGCTCGAAACTCTAGAGAGAACTAACTTAGATAACACATTTACTCTCTGGTGATGTCGTTTTACTAATTTTATACTTTTTTCTTTTCCTTTAAGATTGTGTATTCTGATTACCACTAATCAATCAGCCTTTAAGAAAGATTGATTAGTAATAACATACTCTAGACACATGAAATTATTAATTGGAATAATAGAAAGACAGTGTTACCAAGATGTGCTCTAAAATTGACATAATGAAGGCGTTTGATAGTGTCAATTGGCAATTTTGGTTAGCTGTTATGTTTGCTATGGGATTCCCATTGGAGTTAGGTGGTTGGGTTAAGGTGTCTTTCCAGTGTCACCTTTCAAGTTTGCATCAATGGAGGCATATTTGGGAATTTTCATGCAAAGAAAATATTGACGCAAGGAGATCCACTATCCTTATTCTCTTTGCAATTTCCGTGGAAGTGTCATCCCGTACGCTGAGCAAAGCGGCAACTACAAAGTATTTTCCATTCCATCCATAGTATAGATTTAACACATTTAGTATTCGATGATGATTTGTTAATCTTTAGCAAAAGATATACCCAGGGTGTTAAGGCTGTTGCAAAGATTCTAGATCAACTCTATAGGGTCTCGGTTGAATTGTAACCCATGAAAGATTGAGATCTTTAATGCTGAGATAGAGGGAAACAGAAGGAGGAAGTGATACAACAGTGAGGATTCAAGGATGGGTTCTTACCTATAAACAATGTAGTCAAAATCGCGCTTTAAAACGTAAAATCTTACGATTTTATGTTACTAGGTCACTACAACGCTTCTACACAAAATTTCAGTTTTTATAACTTATGTAGTTAAAAACTCCGCTTTAAAACTTAAAAACTTACGATTTTACGCTTCTAGATCACCAAACCGTTTTTACATAGAAACTCGCTTTTGACTACATTGCCTATAAATACTTAGTGTTCCTTTAATTGCAGGAAAGTTGAACTTGAAGGAATGCAGTGCCCTTGTAGATAAGATCACAAAATATATACAAGGATGGAAAGCACATTTACTTCCCTACGAAGGCAGGGTACAAATTATAGTGGCAGTTCTGGCTAGTGTCACTCAGTTTTGGGTGAGGTTTTTATTCGAACTTCTAGGCATAGTTGTAAAAGAGGTAGATAGATTATGCTCATAATTCCTCCAGTCTTCTAGTTCTAAAATGAAGTAGGTGATAGACCATTAATTGAACATGTTTTTACTCCTATTCTTGAACCGTTTGAGATATTGATTCTCGTGTTTTAAGCCGATTTCACGCTAGGTTGTGCGTTTATGTCATATTTCAGGGCTTAGGGTTGGCATCGAGGCGAAGAAACGAGTTTCGGGTCGAAATGAGCACGTTTGGGTTGAAGTGTGTTGGAGGAGCAAAAATACCCGGCCATGAGCAGAAATACCCGGCCGGGTATTATTTGGAGCAGACCGGGGAAAATATGTTTTGGGCGTCTGAGAAACAGAAGTGGGCCCGGGCAGTAATCATAAATCCCCGGTCGGGTATTCTTGGCCTTGACCGGGGATTAACCCCTGTTCCTAGACGGTGCGTTTCAACAATCCCCAGTCGACACCCAAAATACCTGACCGGGTCTTCTGAACGGGGATCGCGAACGCAGGCTGTCAAAAGCCTGTTTTGTGCGTTTTTGCAAGGGGAGCTGGGTTTTGGATCCCAAACACCCAAGGTTCGAACCAAAGAGAGAGAGGGCGATTTGAGGGCATTCTTGGAGTGGAATTGGAGGATTTCTTTGCCTTAGAAGCTCGAGGAACGAGCCCGGACTTGAAGACTGATCATCTGAAGATTCTTACTGCAGTCTCTCTCTTCTTTATGGAGTAACTTCCCTTCACTTAGGTTTTGAGGAACCCTAGCTGTGTTTGTTTGATTGGATGATTGTATGAGTACTCTTACTTGATAATTTTGAGTTCATATTCAATCTATGCACGTTTTCATGATTCAATTCTGCTTTAGTTGAGATTATTGATTATGCTTTGATCCTATGAGAGCGAATACCTGATTAGGTCAATAGAGCACTATAGATTGATAGTAGTGGATCGATTGCTTTAGTCGATGGTTGATTCACTGCTTTGTATCGATTGCGAACCTCTTTCGATAGAGGGAGTCTATTTCATAACGCCTTGATTGGTTGTTCCAGAGAAGGATACGTCCCTTTAGGCAATTGACTCAAGAGGGCCTTGTTCCTTTAGTCGAGACTCAAGGTCTAGTCAAGGATTCTCCGCATTGTGAATGAAAGTGAAACAGATTAGAGATCATCAATCCTTAATCTAGCTAGTGGCTAGGGGGAATCATACCTAAGTGAGTTCCCAACCTGTAATTAGATTAACTTAAACTGTAGTTTGTTAGAGTAGTTTTAGTTCTTCCATCTTAATCTGGTTTGCTAGATAATGAACTGAAGCTGAGTAATAGTAACTCTAGAGACCAGTGGATTCGATATTTATTACTTGAGCCACTATACTGCAGTCCCTTTGATTGGTTACACTTGGCCATTGTTAGGAGTTGTGTCATAGCGAGTCAAGTTTTTGGCGCCGTTGTCAGGGACTTTCTAGATTATTAGGAAAGGCAGAAGTTGTTGCTTTTCACTTGGGTATTTTTGTTTTTGTTGGTGCAGATCTGAATCATGGATCCTCATGGCTTCTCCAACCATTGGGGGTATCCACCACCATCCGAGTGGTATTACCCCGAGGCTCCCTGGAGCAATCAAGGAGGAGAAGGCTATGGATTCGGGTTCCAGTACCAACCCCCTTACTACGGCCAACAATCAGACCCCTGGGCATATCAAGAACAACCTCATTACCAAGAAGAATTTCTCCCACAACCAGAAGGGTCATCGGAGCTGGAGTTACCCATGGCGGCCTTCATCGGCCATTCTGCAGAGCCATGCTATACTCCACATCCAGATCCAAACTATGAATTGAGACTTCTCATTGAGCAGTTTGCTCGAGACAGTGAGAGATCATGGTCCATGATGGATCTTTGTACCCATGCCTATCGTGAACAGAGGAGATCCTCCTGAGCATTAAGAAGAGCGTCGATGATCTTGAGCAATCTTATGCACAACCTGCTCCAGATCACCCTTCTGCTACCATACTAGAAGAGGAGGAGGAAGAAGAAGGCTACAAGGAGATTGTGGAGCACACTGAAGTTGTCACGGAGAGCTCCCGTGATGATCATGATCAGGAATGTCCTATCGTAGCCTACCACACCTTCTCACATCCCAAACTGAGCTTTGAAGAGGCAGGCATGAGTGAGGAGATGCAAGAAGATCTCATGAAAGAAATTGCTTGGCAACTTGCTCTCCAATCCGTGCTAGAAGAAGAAGAGCGAGAAAGGGTGCAGAAAGAAGTTACGCAGGATGACGAAAGTGAAGTAGAAGGAGTTCTTGATCATTTCCCAGGGGTGATACCACATGAAAAAGGAAGGGAGGTTGAAGAAGCAATTGGCGTCCAGGCTGAGGACGAAGTTGAGGTGGAAGAGGCTTGCACCGGCCATGAGTTACGTGTGATATCTCCACCAAACTTTGAGGAACTACTTAGCAAGGACCCATTTGCAGTGTCTCTTTGCCAGACCAAGGCTACATCGACATCGGTCCCTCTTGGTGGACGCGATGGTGGTCAATAGATGCTGTCATATCTGGTTTGGGAAGTGAGACGAGAGAAGAGAAGAAGACGTCTCGAGGGTGGAGACGCTATCTGCATCAAGTGCACGAGCTTCCATCACCTTTCATACCACATGCTCGTGACTTGAGACTCCACCTTATTGACGAGAACCTCAACTTCAAGGAGGTTTTGGGGTGGACCGAAACTTAGGAGCCATCGTCCGGCTCACGACGTGAAAGAAGCGCTTGTTGGGAGGCAACCCAACCATTCGGTTTGCATTTCTTTCTCTATTTCACCTCGGTTGAGTCAGTTTTGTTATTTGATTTTAGAGTCAATAACTCAACCTTTGTGAGATTTTGTGTGGTGTTTGTGTTTCGACTGCTCTCTCCTCCTGGAATGCACTGCCTGACCCGTCCACCATCATTCACCCTTGATCTAGTAACTTCGTTCTACCCTCCTTATCTTTCCTCCATTGAGGACAATGCCGTGCTTAAGTGTGGGGGGATGTTCGATTATGTATGCGGGTGAATGTTTGGCTGTTTGTGTGCTTGGAGCCTAGTTCACTGTCCAAATTTTTAAATTTGAGGGCTCCAAGTACGTGTTTCCTTGCAAATTGCCTGCTTAGTATGCTTTGAATTGACAGTCTCTATAGTAATGTGCAACCTAGGGAGGTAGTATAGCACTATGGAGGATGTTGAAGTATAAGATTTTTCCTATCTAGCTCTCTGCTGTGCCAGTTGATTTTGTGAATTAGTGGAGCTAAGACCGTTGAATTCATGTGGTAATGGTGACTCTGTTTGGATTATGTTATGGACTCGT